CGTGGCTGCTCCTTCTTCACATCCAGGTTGGGGAAGGCCTTTGATCACCTGTCCAGAGCAGCCCTGCCTCTTTCTCCTCCTGCCTCTCTCCCGTTGCCTGATTTTATCGTCTTCAGAACACTTAGCATTACCTGAAATGACACTATTCACTTGTGCCCTTTTTTTTTTTTTGTCCCTTCCTCATGAGAAGGGACAGGGCTGTACGAACAGGACCTTGTCTATTCGTTCAACATGGCTCCCTGAGCACCAAGACCCTTATGGTCCGATATGTAGTCACCAGCCACATGTGGACAATTACATTAATATTAAAATGAAATAAATTGTAAAATGCAGTCTCTCAGTTACAGGAGCCACGATTCGAGTTCTCAGTGGCCGCCTGGGGCTAGTGGCTACTGCCCTAGACAGGGCAGACAGAGCGTGTTAGTATCATCAGAATTCTATTGGGCAGCCCTGGCCTGCATCACCATGACAAGTCACAGAAATACACCACTGGAGTTTGGGATTGACATGTACGCACTGCTATTTTTAAAATGGATAACCAACAGGGACCTGCTGTAGAGCACAGGGAACTCTGCTCAATATTACATAACAACCTAAATGGGAAAAGAATTTGAAAAAGAATAGTTATATGTATATGTATAACTGAATCACTGTGCTCTACACCTGAAACTAACACACGGTTGTTAATCAACTATGCTCCAATATAAAATAAAAGGTTAAAAGAAAGAAAAGAAAAGAAATACACCATTGGGGAAATCGAACGTTAATTAATTAATTAATTCAAAAACTACTTAGTGAGCACCATTTCCATGCATAAAATGTATCACTGGGTCCTGCCTCACTTGCTGTTGTGACCAGGCTGGAGGTGGCATCCGCATGGTGATGCCGCAGGTGAAAATGGTGACGGAATGGTGCCACGTAGATGATGGATGTGTTTATTATAAACGAAAACAGATGGACCGTGGCGAGCAGCTGAAAGCCCACTTTTTGGATGGGTTATTACATCCTAGAGGAGGGAGACCATTGATTCCTTTCTCCTAGCAAATGTCGAGAAAAACCGCAGGGAAACCCACAGCCCCCATGTTCCCTTCCCACCTCAGTCCCTTACTCCTCACTAGCCGGGCCAGTCATTTAATCTGGGGAAACATCAGAAAATGTGACAAACATATTATCGCGTCCTCCTCCTGAGCCCAAGACAGGCATCGCTGATCAATCACACACCCTTTCCTGGATGAACCAGAAGGAAAGTTCTAAATCCTTCTCAAGACAGCCCTCCAGGCAGCCATTTCCAAGCAGAGTTGGCAAAACAGACGCAGCTATCTGTCCCGCAGGATCTTTTTATCCTGAGCCCCAGCTTCTTTATCTACAACGTGGGGCCCGGCCACATCCACCTTGTAGGATGGTTGGGAGGTTAATTGAGATGATTCATTTGTTCAGTTATTTGTTCAGGCATCAAATGTTTATGGAGCGCTCAGTGGGGGTTTCACGCCTGCCTGATGCATGCAGCATTGGGTAAACAGCAGCTGTGATGAGTACCCACATCTGCGGGCCGCCGTGTGCCTGCGTGGACGGATGCTAGCCTCCGTGTCCTTACCCTGCCCGGAAGTCCTCTCCTCCGGGCCGGTTCACGCTTACCGCATCACCTAACGAGGGGGAAGGAACCCATCCAAGTTAGCCCGAGGATTAAACGGGCAGCAGATTTTCCAATAAGAGACTCCTTTTCTTCTAGCACCTTCTTTTCTTATGCTCTAAATAAGCCTTGGTTGGATCAGAGCCTCACATTGAACTTTGCTTCCTTGAATTCCCAGACACAAAACACTGTCTTAACAAGCCGTGTCTCCTGGGCTGAGCTATATTTCCTATAAACTCTCATTTTATCTCCTCTAAAACACACGGTAATAGCATTCTCTGGAGAATATTAAATGAAACCAACCGGCAGCTGCATTTGTTTGCGCTTTCTGTCCCCGGAAAATTCTGTCAACAGATAGGTGTGAGTTACATAAGTGGTGGCCCTGCCAGGGACTGCGGTCCTCCACACACTCCTCTGTGTAGAAACACCTCAAGTCTCTAATCCCCGCAGCTGGCTGCTCCCCGAAGCGCCCACAACAGCAATGACGCCCTGGTGTCCTGCTCCTTTTCTATTCTCAGCACACAGGGAAGGCCGAGTGCAGGTTAAAGAAGAAAGGCAGGCCTCAGTCAAAAGGGACGAAGCTTATCTTCTTTGTAATATAGCACATAAAATCTGCTTTTCTTGGCCTGAGCGATATAGTTGATGACAGGGCCGAGCTACAGGGCACGGGCTTGGGCAGCCAGCGCCGTTTCATTAACCAGTCCAGAAGATGCTGGTGACCGCCTGCCGGGAAGTGCCGGGTGAACTGGAGAAGGAGAGGACCCAGCCCTAGATGTTGGGAACGCGCTGCAGCTACATGGGGCCGGGGTTGCATCCGGGGCCTAGAGGACAGCCCCTGCGCACACCCCGGGCAGGGGAGGCTGACACGCCCACAGGAACGTTCTCATTTGTTCCAATAGTTTGGACTTTTTCTCAAATTTAAACTTTAGGCATTTGTTTGAAAAAAAGAATCAAAACAGAGAAATCAGAGAAAGCTTTTTGTTACTTCTCTGGGGCAGCATCGCGTGTGAACAGAGCCGGCTGGGACCGCGTCTGCCATGTTAGCCTCCAGATCCCCAGAGCCTAGCAGATGGTTATTCGGGAGCTGGAGGGACGGCTGGGTGAGTGGGTGAGCGAAGAACTAGCCAGAAGAGGTACAGGAGGGAAGGACGGCAAGGTGGGAGGGGGCACGGAGTCTCCTGGTTGAGCCACAGCTAGCCTCTAACCTGCGCTATGACCTTGGGCAAGCATCCTAACCCCTCCTACTCTCAGTCTCTCATCTGGATCTCAAGAAGGATGAGACAATTGCTTATGGGCTCTTGGGGGAATGAACTCATTCATTCATTCGACAACCATGTATTTCTACTTGGAACAGAGCAGTGGTGGAGATGACTCAGGCCCTGCTCCCAAGACGCCCACAGTGTGATGGGGGGACAAGTGCCCATCCGGGTACAGGGGCAATAGAACCAGTTCATGAGGTCCAGAAGTGCACAAACGTCAGGGGGTCAGGCGAGCATCCTGGAGAAAGGGACGTCTGGGTTTCCCAGGAATACAAAGCAGAGGCAAGCATTTTGAGTTGAGCGAGATGGGAGGGGCCAGGGACTAAAGGTGCGCCTACCAGGGAGGGCAGTGGAGAGCCACGAGCAGCTGGCACTCTGGAGGGTGGCCTGGTCAAGGGGCGGGTGCCAAGAGAGAGGCAGGCTTGACGCACAGGGATTAGGGGCCCTCTGTCCTGGATTCTCTGGATCAAGGGGAGCCTTTGAGGGCTTGAAGCAGTAGAGTCGTGATCAGACCTCGCAGTGGCTACTGGAGACAGACCGGAGGCTTGGGCCTGGGGTCAGGGAGAGCGATTAGGAGGCTGTTCTCTTCCACACCTCCACGCCTTTGCCCGCGAAGCTCCCTCTACCTGGAGAGGCTTTCCCTTTTCTGTCTGGCTCAGTGCTTCTCTTTCCACTAGAGCTCAGGTATGCGCTCTTTAAAGTACCTTCCCTGACCTCTCCCAGCCTGAGGCGGGCTCCCTCCTCCAGGCTCCAGCGACCGCAGACTGGGAATGGCTAGCTCCAGCCCAAAGATGAGTTTGGTTTGAACTGTATGGTGGCTTCAAAAGAAGTGAAATTAGCTTCTGACATTTGCAAACAGAATAGCTCATCTCAAAATCCAGATTCCCAGCTCTCTGGGAACGTTCAGAAGGTCTAGCAGCACTGGCTGGCATTGCTCCACATCAGTCATTAGTTAAAGCTGAAAAATGCCCTGCCCTTTACCTGGGCCATGCGCTTGCCAGCCTGCCACGTTCCCCACCAGGCCCTAGCGTCTCTCTAACAATATTGAGGCCGAGGATTGGTTGCCATTTATCATCTCGCTTGTACTACTGCTTCCCTTATAGCAGATTAGAAAGAAAAGTAAAACAAGTTTTGCTCCCTTTTCTATCATAAGAGGGGAAACCGAGAGAGGCTGAGGGAGTCCTGTCCCTCCTTGCTCACTGCGCTCCCTGCTGAGTCCCTGGGGCTTCTGTTTGAAACCCGTGGCTCTCTGGGTTCAGCTTTATCAAGGCCTTCATCACACTGCCTCATACGTCCACATTTACTTGTCTGCCAGCTTTTAGGTAAGGAGTACCTCCAAGGCATGGACTGTGTCTTTACATCAGTGCGCTCAGAATCGATCATGAAGCCTGATGGTACCTAGGATGTGCTCACTAATCAAGGTTGAATGGAGGAATAAATGCATATGAACATGTGAAAAACAGCCCGGACAAGAAAGCAAGGATGAGGGCCTGGGTAGTGGTATGAGGGTGGGAAGGAGGGGAGGGGTTCTGAAACCAGAGGGGCTGAAGAGCACAGAGGTTAAGGGCCTGGCTGTTTAGAGTGGGGTGCACACACCAGGATCACTGGTACATGTGAGAGCTGGTTAGACGTGCAGAATCTCGGGCCCCGCCCTAGACCCACTGGATTAGAACCCGCTTTTTACCAAGATCCCAGGCAAGTTGTTGCGGATACGGTTGGAGAAGCACTGGCTAAGCCAATGGGCCTGGAGTCTGACTGCAGGGATTCAAATTCTCACTCTGACGCTCACTGGCTGTGTGCCTTGGGCCACGTTACGTAACCTCTCTGTGTGTCTGTTTCCTTATCTGTTAAAACTGCGCCTCGGTTCATATTTCTCCAGTTCCCCCGAAAGGTGACCTGATTCTACTTCCCAAACCTTCAGCGGAGGCTCTGCTCCTGGGGACTCTGACAACGCGAAGTGAAATCCCCCAGCAGGTGCTTGCTACACCCAGGAGGAAGGGCAACGGGGCCTCGTGGTGCCCATTGTGCAACTTCGGGAATCAGGCTACGGGAAAGCACCAAGTGCTTCCATCAGGCAAATGCCCAGCCAGGAACCGGAGCCTGTTACTTACGCCGTCAGCTGTGCAGTAATTCCAAACCTTGATCTTGGTTAGACCAAAGTCACGCAGCTGTCTCGTGTTGCGGATAACAAAAAAGAGCTGGAGCGGCGGGTGGAAGGGGCACGTCCACAAGGAAGGGTCTTTCTTGCCCTGAAACGCCAGCAAGAGAAGGAAGTTGTTATTGTTAGCACAATTCTGCCTTACCCCAAAGTAAGCGGGCAGTGACTATGGAAACCAGGGGAGGATGAGGGTGGGAAGCCACCCACCTTCTCTACTTCATCCTGGGTGGGGTCTTAGATCTCACCCCATCTGGACCGCATTTTGGAGCAGGCTACTGACCCTTGTCCCTGGCACAAAGCTGTCACATGGGCCCCTCTGCCCCTGCCATCCAGACCAAATTTAAAATGCAGCGGGCTTTATTTTAATCAACCTAATCGGCTTTGTTGGGGAGAGAGACTGGAGGAGAAGGACGGGAAAAGAGCCATGACTTGAGCTATTTGATTAACCTGGCAAACAGAGCCTTTGATTTTCTTTTGTAAAACCCTGTAGAATTTAAAAAATTTTAAAAATAGAAAAGAAAGAAACTGGCTCAGGCGTTTGTTGGGATGGGGCCATGGCACTGAGCCTTAGGATCGATTCTGTTCCCTTTCAGGGTTTCCAAGCCTTGGGACCCCTGTGTGCAGTTTCCGCCTGCCAGCGAGGCTGCCAAGGCCATTCTCAAGGCCAAAGAGGCAGAGGAGCAGGGGAGCCTTGCTGTCGTTTCCATTTGCAGCAACAAAATTTCGTATCATGAGTGCTTGGGACGCAGACGGGAAAAAGTGAAATCAGGGGACTTTTCTCAGCCCCGGTCGCCTCCTCTCTTGTCTCTTTGGGTACCTCTTCTGCTCTCTGTCTGGACAAAACGCACAGTTGTTCCCAAATATGTCCATGCTGGCTCGGCCTCTGTGCCTTTGCACAGGCTAGGCCTCTGAGCAGTACTCTCCTGCCCTTCTCCCCCTGGGAACTTCAGCTCAGATGTGCTGTCTCCCCCACTGTCACCCCTTCCCTTGACACAATCACTCCCTTCTCCAGGTGCCCACGGCTCCTTGCAACACCTGAGGTTATAATTTACTCAGTGTCCCACAAGTACCTGTCTTCATGTCTATGTCACCCCCCCACCAACACACGCATGCGTGCGCACACACACATACACACACATTCAGCTGCGAGCTCCTCTAATTCATTCCAGAACCTTAGCGTTCAGCACAGTTCCTTGGCACCTGGTCAATGACAAAAAAATCTTTAAATTGAATTTTTTGAACAATCGTTGAATGAAGAAATGAACAGATAAGTGAAATGTACCTCCTAATACCTGTCCTCTCACTGAAACTTTAGAGACTAAACTGTTCTGGCCGGCAGAGCTATTTTGTCTAGCTCATGAAAGTGTTTTGTTTTTTTTTAAAGGCAAATTCGTTGCCAAGACTTTAAGATGGGAGATATCCTCTCCCCCTCAGAGCTAGCTGTCTGGCTTGTCTACAGACTCAGGAGACGTGACAACGCGGGGCCCCTGACGGCCGTCGGCTGGGGCTGAGTACCCCAGTCCTCACCACTCCCTACTGTTCTACACCCACCTCACCTCCCTGGTTATGCTTCTGCCCGGCCCCTGCAGGCATTAGTTTAGGGGCCCTGCTTCGGGGCTGAACAGTCACAAGTCCCATCTGCCAATAAGCAACCTGTATCTCTGACACTGGCTGAAGTTGTTCCTTTTATCTAAAAGGAGCATTGCCCCATATTTGAGAGTGTCTCCATGGGCTCCCATCCCCAGGACCGTGCCTGCCTCTGGGGTCTGCTGGCCCCCAGGAGACGTGAGGCTCAGGCTCCAGCTGCGCGGAGGACAGAGGTGGCTTGTCCCAGTGACAATGGTGCCTTTCAGGAGGGAGGAGGCTGCTTTGTTAAGGGGGAGAGATGAGTTCAAGGGGTTCTGACTTATTCTGGCAAGTTTCTCAAGCTCTGCAAGAACTTTTAGTGCTCTGGGCAGCTGCGAGGGGTCAAAGATAGCACATCTCAAATCCAGCAGGGGAGTCTCATTCCTTCTCTTCACTGGAGCCTAAAATGGGTCGCTGAGGCTGCTTGACAAAGGCAGAGACTGAAGGCTGACCCTTAGGCACAAGCGAGGGGACTGTAATTGATTTCCCGTCACATTTCCGTCAGCGGGAGGGATAATGGGAGGGCTAAGTGGGAGTCGTGGTGTTCAAAGTCGGAGAACATTAACCTGTGGGTAAATCTGGGCCTCATTAGCAACTGGGCCTTCTCATGTTTCCTTTCCACAGACAGAGTCCCCGAGAGGAAGGCTGCCGGGAAGCTGCCGAGGGCTGACCCAAGGCACGCTGGGCAAACCTCCAGGTGCCAGGCCAGCAGGAGAGCGTCTGCTGCACCTGCCCATCGCAGGTGGTAATCAAGATGGCAGAACAAGAATCAGGGCACCTGGGCACCGCTGTTATCTCACTGGGTTCACTCCAAGCCCTGGAAGGTGAGTACTGCAGTAACACCCGTGTCACCGAAGGAAGACCAGAGTCCAGAAAAGGTGTGGTTTGCCCAAGTGATGGAGTGAGGATTTAAACCTAGGTTTTTCATTCATTCATTCATTCATTCATTCATTCTGTGTTGGTCTGGATTGCCCCAGGAGAAGACCCTGAGGCAAGGCAAGTGTAAGGTGTTGATTTAGACAGTGAAGGAAACACCAGTTGGTGGGTGGGGAAATGAGAGGGGGAGAGGCATTCCATAAAGAGTGTGTTACCAGGCTAGGCACACCTGTGAGCTCCATGCCACCAGGGAACCTGGGAGCCAGTGTGGAACACACCTCAGGGTGACTCCACTTCCGGGACAAGGGAGCTGGGGTATCCACACCCCAGTTCCCATCAGTGTAGGTTCAGGGCTGCTCCTGGGGGCTCAGTTCCCCACCAGTTTGGGCCTGCTACAGGGGAGGCAAAGTGGGCCCTGGAGGCCAGAAAACAGATCCTCCATCGGAGAAATGTGTGTGCTGGCAGTGGGAAGAGCAGCCAGCAGGGACCAAGGTGGGAAGGGCCTGCGGGAGGTGCCAACGGCATCTGCTACCCACCTGCTCAACAAATACCGAGTGCGGGGGGCGCCTGGCCCAGCAGATCCCAGCTCTGTGCCAGGAGGGGAGACAAACAAGTAACACTGCCAAGAAAAAAAAAAATCAAGTGGGGCTGGGGGTGGGGGAATAAATTCAATGAAGAAAATATGAGAGAATTATCAATGGCCAATGGAAGGACTAGTTTAGAATAGATGGTCAGAGAAGAAGGCCTCTCTCAGGAGGTAACTTTCTAACTCCTAACATAGGTGCTTTCTCCAGCTTTAACCTAACACAGATCCACACACCCCCAGGGAGATGCTGGACTGCCCTCAGAAGTAGCCCCGATTTAATAAGTTATCGCCTTAAAAAGGAACAAACTCTTGATACAACAATTTGGTTAGGTGTCAAGGGCATTATAATGAGTGGGAAAAAGTCAGTCTCAAAAAGGTTACATATAGTATGATTCCATGTATATAGCATTCTTGAAAGGACAAAAAGTATAGAGAATAGGTTGGTGGCTGTCTGGGTTAGGGACAGGTGTGGGGAGGGGTGGCTATAAAGGGTCGCATGAGGGAATTCCTTTGAGGTGATGGAGCTGTTCTGCATCTTGATGTGGTGGTGGTTCCACAAATCTACATGTGACAAAACTGAAAAGAACTGGGCTTCCCTGGTGGCGCAGTGGTTGAGAGTCCACCTGCCGATGCAGGGGACACGGGTTCGTGCCCCGGTCCGGGAAGATCCCACATGCCGCGGAGCGGCTGGGCCCGTGAGCCATGGCCGCTGAGCCTGCGCGTCCAGAGCCTGTGCTCCGCAACGGGAGAGGCCACAACAGTGAGAGGCCCGCGTACCACAAAAAAAAAAACCCAAAACAAAACAAAAACTGAAAAGAACTTACATACATACACACACATACACACACACACACACATACACACACGTGTATGAAGGTCTGCACATTATACCAATGTCACTTTCCTAGTTTTGATAATGTACTATGGTCATGTAGGATGTTACCATTGGGGGAAGCTGGGCAAAGGCACATGGGACCTCTCTATACTTTTTCAAAAACTGAGATATAATTCACATACATAAAATCTCCACTTTAAAGCGTACGAGTCAGTGGTTTTTTTAGTATAGTCACAAGGCAGTGCAACCATCACCACTATCTTTTCCTAGCATATTTTTATCACCCCCAAAAGAAACCCTTTAGCAGTCACTCCCCATTCCCCACATTCCCCCAGTCCCTGGCAACCTCTAGTCTACTTTCTGTCTCTATAGATTCACTCATTCTGGACATTTCATATAAATGCTGTCATACAATATATGATCCCTATGTCTGACGTCCGTCATTCAGCATAATGCTTTCAAGTTTATCCATGTTGTAGCATGTATCAGTACTTAACTCCTTTTTTTTTTTTTGCGGTACGCGGGCCTCTCACTGCTGTGGCCTCTCCCGTTGAGGAGCACAGACTCCGGACGCGCAGGCTCAGCGGCCATGGCTCACGGGCCCAGCCACTCGGCGGCATGTGGGATCCTCCCGGACCGGGGCACGAACCCGTGTCCCCTGCATCGGCAGGCGGACTCTCAACCACTGCACCACCAGGGAAGCCCTACATTTAACTTTTTAAGGAACTGCCAGACTATTTTGCACAATGGCCATACCATTTTATTTCTACATTCCCACGAGCAAGGTGTAATGATTCCAATTTTTCCATATGCTGTTCACCAATACTTGTTATTTCTGTCTTCTTTTTTTAAAGAAATTATAACATCCTAACGGGTATGAAGTATATGTCCTTATGGTTTTGATTAGCATTTCCCTAATGGCTAGTGATGCTGAGCATCTTTTCATGTGCTTGTTGGCCATTTGTAGATCATCTCTGGAGAAATGTCTATTCAGAGTATTTTGGCCATATTTTCACTGGGTTGTTTGTCTTTTTGTTGTTGAGTCTGAGTCCTTTTCTTCATATATTCTGGATACAAGACCCTTATCACATACACGATTTGCAAATATTTTCTCCTTTTTTTGTAGGTTATCTTTTTACTTTCTTGATAATGTTCTTTGAAGCAAAAATGTTTAAAAATTTTCGTTTGTTTAAAAATTTTGATGAGGTCTGATTTACCTATTTTTTCTTTTGTTGTTTATGCTTTGGATGTCATATCTAAAACTCCACTGAAAAATTCCAGGCTATGAAGATTTACACCTATGTTTTCTTCTAAGAGTTTTATAGCCTTAACACTATAAAAGTCTCAAGGTATTTGACCCATTGAGTTAGTTTTTGTAAATGGTGTGTAGAAGTCCAATTTCATTCTTCTGCATGTGGAAATCCAGTTGTTCCAATACCATCTGTTGAAAAGAAACTATTCTTTCCTCATCAAATGGTATTGGCATCCTTGTTAAAAATCAATTGACTATAGACGTATGAATCTATTTCTGGACTCTCAGTTCCATTCCGTTGATCTATATGTCCATCCTTGTGCCAGAACCACATAGTCGTAATTACTGTGGCTTGGTAGTAAGTTTTGAAACTGGGCTCACTCAAAGTGTGAGTCCTCCAACTTTGTCCTTTTCCAACATTGTTTTGGCTCTTCTGGGTTCTCTGAACTTCCATTATACACTTTAGAACCAGCTTGTCAATTTCCACAAAAAAAGGCAGTAGGATTACATTGAATCTGCAGATAATTTGGGAGCACTGCCATATCAGTGGTATTAAGTCTTCCAATCCATGAACACATATATCTTTTCATCTTTCATCATTTAGGTCTTCTTTAATTTCTGTCAACAATATTGTGTACTTTTCAGTGTGCAAGTCTTTCACCTATTTGGTGAAGTCTATTCTTAAGTATTTTATTCTTAAATAGCATCAAACTATTATAAATGGAAATTTTCTTAATTTCCTTTTCGGATGGTTCATTGCTAGTGTATAGGAATACTACTGACTTCTGTATATTGACCTTTTATTCTTTAAGCTTGCTGAACTCCATGTTAGCTTTACCAGTAACTTCTGTGAATTCTTTAAGATTTTCTGCATATAAGATCGTTTCACCTGCAAATATAGTTTATTTCTTCCTTTCCAACCTCTTATTTCATTTTCTAGCTTAACTTCCTTGGGTAGACTCTCCAGTACAATGCTGAATAGGAGTGATGAAAGCAGGCGTCCTTGTCCCATTCCTGGTCTTAGAGGGAAAGCTTTCAGTCTTCCACCATTCAGTATGATGTTAGCTGTGGGTTTTCATAGATGCCCTTCATCAGACTGAGGATGTTTCCTTCTATTTTGGTTTGTTGATGTATTATCATGAAAGAATGTTGAATTTTATCAAATGCCTTTTCTGTGTCTATTAAGACATCATGTGGTTATTTCCTCCTTTTTTCTATTAATATGTTGTATTCTGTTGATTAATTTCCACATGTTGAACAACTTTGCATTCCTGGAATAAACTCCACTAGGTCTTGATATATAAATCTTTTTATAAACTGCTAGATTTGATTCGTTAATGTTTTGTTGAGGATTTTTACATCTGTATTCATAAGGGATACTGGTCTGTAGTTTTCTTGTGATGGCTTTTTCTGGTTTTGGTATCAGGGTAATACTGGCCTCAGAGAATGAGTTGGGAAGTGTTCTCTCTTCTTCTGTATTTTAGAACAGTTTGTGAAGGCTTGGTGCTAATTCTTTAAATATTTGGTAAGATTCACCAGTGAAGCCATCTGGTCCCAGGCTTTTCTTTGTGGGAAGTTTTTTATTGATTACTAATTCAATCTCTTTTCTTGCTATAGATCTATTCAGATTTTCTATTTCTTCTTGATTCAGTTTTGGTAATTTGTGTCTTTCTAGGAATTTGTCCATTTCATCTAGGATATCTAATTTGTTGGCATAAAATTGTTCATAATATTCCCTTGTAATCCTTTTGATTTCTATTAGTTTGGTAGTGATGGCCCCTTTTTCATACTTGATCTTAGTAATTTGAATATTTTCCCCCTTTTTTTTCTTGCTCAGTCTAGCTAAAGGTTTGTTCATTTTGTTGATTCTTCCAAAAAAACAACTTTTGGCTTTGTTGATTTTTCTCTATTGTTCTTCTCTTTTCTGCACTTTTTTTTTTTTTTTTTTTTTTTCCGGTACACAGGCCTCTCACTGTTGTGGCCTCTCCCGTTGAGGAGCACAGGCTCCAGACGCGCAGGCTCAGCGGCCATGGCTCACGGGCCCAGCCGCTCCGCGGCATGCGGGATCCTCCCAGACCGGGGCATGAACCCGTGTCCCCTGCATCGGCAGGCGGACTCTCTACCACTGCGCCACCAGGGAAGCCCTGCACTGTTTTTTTAAAAACAATTTCCTGTGAGTCTATAATTATTTATTTTTAAAAGTTCAAAAATGTATGGCTCTATGTGCTAGGGATATAGTGTGAATAGGATGGACGAGAACTTACAGGTTGGTGGGAGGAGACAGATCAGAAACAAGTGAACAAAATCACTTTTGATAGTGGGAAGTGGTCTGAAGAAAATGAACAAAGCTGATGTGATAGAGACTGGCGTAGGGAGGGAACAGGACTCCTCCAGCTTGTAGAGTCCGGGAAGGTTAGAGACTGGCGTAGGGAGGGAACAGGACTCCTCCAGCTTGTAGAGTCCGGGAAGGTCTTGCTGAGAAAGTGATACCTGGGCTGAAATTTGAGGGACGAGAAAGGAAGGAGCCACATGAACATCTGTCGGAGGGATGCTCTGGGCAGAGGGGGCGGCAAGTGCCGAACCCACAGGTGAGAACGAGCTTGGCAGGTCAGGGGAGCAGAAGGGAGCCCTGGTATGTGAGGCAGGCAGAGAGGGAGCTGGAGGTCGGTTCACAGACAGCCTCCGGGGCCACAGAGAGGCATCCAATTTTCCCCAGAAAGTCACGGCAGGGGTTTTAAGCAGGGGAGGGCTGCAAGCTGACATTTGTTAAAGATCCCTTTGGATACAGAGTGGAAAATGGAGTGGATGGGGGCAAGAATGGAAGAAAGGAATGAGAGAGGAGACCACTTAGTAGTTCCAGTGAGAGGGCGCAGCTGATCAGACTTGGGAAGAACGAGTGGAAATGGAGAGAAGGGGCCAGATCCAGGCTCCATGTTGGAGGCAGAATCAATAGGACTTCCTGATGTGTTGGAAGGGGAAGGGGCGTGGGGCAACCAAGGAAGACTCTTAAGTGGTGGGCTTGGCAGCTGAGCGGATGGGGATGCCATTTACTGAGCTGGAGGAGGAAGAGATGAGGGCGTGGGCTAGGGAATCGACATTCAGGTTTCAGGTCTCTGAAGTCTGAGATGTAGAGCGGAAGCTGACATTCAAGTCAGGAACTCGGAAGCAGGCAGGGCTGGGCATATAAATTTGGAGCCAACTTGAAGCCACGGGCCTGGGGGTGGCGATGAGAGAGATGGGGTGGGCAGGGCAGGAAGGAAGGTTTGCACTGAACATGGGGCACTCATACAGCCCCCCGCACACCCCTCATTCACCTGCACTGAAGCAACTTCTCTTTCAAACCCAGACTCTGCTTTCAGGTATCTTCTCCTCAGCTTTCAGCCGAGCCCCACCACTCCACAGCAGTGTGGCCTGGACGAGTCACTCATCGTCCCTGAGACTTGGTTTTCTCGTTTATCAGATGGGGAAAGTCATCCCGAGGTTCATGTGAGGATTCAGTGAGGGATGCCCGAGACCCCAGTGAAACTGAATGGTTCTGAGAGGCAGTGTGTTCTGGTGGCCCCAGGCGTGGTTCATAGGGCGACTATCAGAGAGACCCCAGGCCAGGGCAGCAGGGGGAATCCAGCCCACCCACAGCTGGACCCAGAGATCTAGCAGCCCAGGGTGAGACAGCTGCCTCAGGGCCCAAAGTTTAAAAAAAAACCAAAATACGAAACCCACCCAAACCCTGGGCCAAAGTCCTCACTGCTATCCACGGCAATGCTCGTCAGCCTCTGCTGAACAGAGAAAGGGGAGAGCAATCAATCATCAGAGTTGGTCCCCATTAAATCCAGTGATGCTCGTTATCGCCCCTGGTATGCTCTGTTCTGTACAGTAGGCTTCCAAAATGCCACTGCTTTGCGCACAAGGGGGACGGGAGAGGTTTATTTAGCAAGGGCTGGTCCAAGCCTCAGCAGCATGCACGGGAGCCTACAGACTTGAAGCAGGGAGCAGAGCGGGGAATGCAAGGCCAGAGCGTCCAAGTGGCCACGACCTGTTTCCCTCAAGGTCCCATAGCTGCTGATCTTTAAGTGGGCTCAGAAACCATTCAGTCCAACCCTATGGACAGGCTGTGTTTCCTGGCTGTCTCACATCTACCCTGCCTTTCTTTCAGTAACAACCACAAATTTCTTCAGGGAAAATTCCCTCCCTGCCCCACTTGGGGCATCTTAGTGGAACTGGCACCAAGGTGCCTGGCCCTCCTAGCCAGGTTGGTCCATCAGCCTTCCTTTCCTGGACTGGATATCTCCAGCAGAATGACAAGATGACAAACCAACTAACGAACCAATCAACCAACAAACACTGCACCCTCCCCGCCCCCCCAAAAAAGAAGACCAAACTCTCGGTATTCATGCATCCCAGGATGCTACCCAGAACCCCAAGTTGCTCATGGGGCCTGTCCTCTTTTGGCCTGGGTGACAGTGAACACACCAGCTACTCAAAAGCCTTGCAAAAAATTTCTTTTCAAAAATCTGCTAAAGAGAGCCAGACTCAGTTTCTTTTGCTGGAAAAATAAGAATCATACGAATTATCCAGGCCTTCCACTCCCAGATTCTACAGGTGGCAGAAAAAAATGACTCTCAGAGAAGGCGGGTAAGATGCCCAAGGCTAGAGAGTCAAGACCAGAACCTGGGTCTCTAGAGCTGGGGACTTCAAAGCCCTCCTTTCTTGCTTCTTTTCCTTTAAATGGCAATAATATTTACTTCATACTGGTATTACTGCTACTACGACTAGTAAGGACGGAAACAGTAATAGCTAATGTTTTGAAGCCCTTTCGAAGAATGAGGATCATATTTACATGTGATCCTTAAAACATCGCATGAACGTAAGTATTATTATTCTCCCCATTTTACAGACGAGGAAATCAAAGTAGATGTTAGGTGAGCTGCCCACGATCATGAAGCTGTAAGTGATTAAGCTTTGAACCCAGGCCTTTTTGCTTCTCCAGCCTGTACACTGTTTCGTTTATATAAGATTATACACACAACACACTTAGCATGGTGCCGGGCACAAAGCAAGAACTGAACAGGGGGCAATTGTCTTCATTTTCAACACCTTTAAAAAATTAATAATTTGTTCTTTGGAACAGCAAATACATGTACGTCGCAGGAAATTTAAAAGATGCAAAAAAGCATCCAAGCGAAAGTCTTCCTATTGCCCCTGTCCCTTGCTCAGCCAGTTCCGTGGCCCAGAGGCAACCTCTATTCCCCGTATCTCGGGCCCCACCCAGAGGTCACGGTGACTGATGCTGAAGCACTAGCACCGTAAAGATGTCAGTGCTGGGTGGTCTGTCTAGTCTCCTGCGTCCAGCTTGCAAGCGGCAGGAAGAGAAAATGTCAGTGCTTTTCGTTTTCTAACTTTCAGATATTTAAAAGAAAGTGATGTTCCACGTTTGCTGGGTGCGTACTCCATGCCCCAGGGAAGCAGGACCCTGAGAGGGTGCGTGGGCCCCGGGCCAGGCTGCAGGGGGTGCATTTGCACCGCCCCCCTCCCCGCTCCCCGACCTCCCAGCTGTGTGACCTTGGCCAAGTCAATGCCCTTGTCCAAGCCTTAGTTTCTTCATCTACAAAACATGGGTGTTGCCCTCAATGACATCCCAAGGTCCCGTGTTTGGTGGTTACTATGGGAAACTGCAGTGTAGATAAAGGGGGTGAACCGGCTCCTCTTTGGCCCCTCACCCCCCATAAGAACCCTCTACAGAGCAGGGATCTGGGCAAGAGCTCAGGGCGGGGGGTGCCGCTGGAGGCCCCTCCCTGTACCTTGCCCTCCGGTTCCTCCCCACCCTGCCCAGATGAATGGCTGTGGACGATTACATCATCCTTCCCGTTGCTGCACCCACACCCTTATCGTGGGCTTATCGTGGGCAGAAAAAATGCATCAAAACATGTAGCCAAGACTCACACAAGGCCGTCTCCACTTACAGCTAAGTTCCTGCTGACCAGGTGGCCCGGCTCCCCGGGCGTGTCAGAGTTCCGGACAGCCACATCGTGAGGCGACACATAAAGCTTTATGTTGTTCCGGTCGAAGAATTCCACTTCCGTGAGACCCACCCACGACGCGCTGCCCCAGTTGGACTGGATTTCCATGGTCACGTAGACGGCATCCTTGATCTCTTCTGCTTTCGGTCCCGATTTGTCCTTAGCGAGGAGAAAAGTAATGCCAAAGGATGGAAACACAACAGGTGGAATCCAGCTCTACCGCTAAATGACAAGGTATTTAATCGCTCAGTGCCGGGTTTCCCCCTCTGTACAATGAGGATAAGAAGAGCACCCATTACAGATGGTTATCATGGAGATTAAATGAGCTCATGTTTCTAAGGCATTTCAAACATAGTTACTAGAGGAATTTCCTGGCGGTCCAGTGGTTAGGCCTTGGCAATTTCACTGCCGGGGCCCAGGTTCGATCCCTGGTCGGGGAACTAAGACCCCGCAAGCCATGCAGTACGGCCAAAAAAAAAAAAAAAAAAAGTTACTATGAACCCTGGCACTTAGTATTTTCTGTAAGAGTCTGCAGAGAACAAAGAATGCTTAAAAGGCATCAGATTCTGCCTGAACACGTACTTTTCTCACCCACTACCAAGGGTTCATGTCCTATAGGCATGTCACAACTTATGCTGAATTGGGCTGGTGTTATGGGCAAAATTGTGTCCGCCACACACAAATTCAGATACTGAAGCCCAAACCCTAGTAGCTCAGAAGGTGACTGTTTGGAGACAGGGCCTTTAAAGGGTAATTAAGTTAAAATGAGGCTGTTAGGGTGGGCCTAATCCATTCTGACTGATGTCCTTACAAGAAGAGGACATTTGGACACCTAGAGAGACAGCAGGGATGGGCAGGCACAACGCAAAGGCCGTGTGGGGACTCAGTGAAGAGCTGGAGAAACTCAGCCTGCCAACACCTGGATCTTGGATTCGCTTCCAGGGCTGTGAGAAAAGAAGTCTCTGCTGTTTAAGCCACCCAGTCTGTGGTACTTGGTTGTGGTAGCCTAGCAGACGGCCTATCTAACACAGTAGATAACACAGGACCCTGGGCAAGTCAGTTGACATCCCCCTGGGGACCAGGAGATGACACCATAGATCTGACAATCCTGTCCCAGAGATTAAGTGGGGTATGCACCCGGAGAAGACCCGGTCAGCAGTCCTGGCCTACGTGCACTCTCTAAGTGGCCATTTCCGCCCATTTCTCTCCTCCATGGATTTTAATGCCTGCCTCCTTCGCGGGTAGGTTGTCTGGTCTGAGAGGTCGTGAATGCCATCAATCAATGGCCACACTGTGGAATGGCTTCCCGAGGCCCCTTCGGGCTCCGACTGCAGTGCTGGTCACCACAGATCAGCCGCTTAGAAAATGGTACCTTCCCCGCACGCACATGCCCTCTCTTAATTAACACCGTAATCTGTGATGGTTCTGTGAGCAGGAAGCTGAGCAAATGAACAGCAACTGTTCCCTACTTATTTTTTTAATTAATAGCCAGGGAGACGTGCTAGCGCTCTCAGCGTGTGTTTGGATGAGCCTTGATTGTCAGGTGATGGGATGGGGACATGCAGGGAGGGAAGTCAGCTGTCAGCTCCCGGAAGGAACGCAGGGGCTGTGTTTATCAGCAGACCCCACGGCTTCCTCCTTCTCTGCCGCGGGGCCTTGTGGGCCCAGGCCAAGCCCTCTGCTACCCTGGGCCTGAGTCCCAGGCAGGCAGGATGGTGATAAAACTCAACTGGCCCGGCTCAAGCCTCGGGGATTGGGAGGTTAATGAACTTGTGCTTGGGAGGCGCGTTCCGCTGCCAGGTGCGCCCCGTGGGAGGCGTGAGGATGCAGCGCTGGTCACCGTGGTTGTTGGCCGTTGGGAGGAGGCCAGATGGGAGGCGAGCTGCCTCGAGGAGGGGCTGCTGGATCTCACGCACAGTGCAATCTAAGATGTGCAAATTCCTGCAGCGGGGTTTCTAAATGAAGAAGCTGAAGGGTCTATTCACTAAGGAAGTGTCACAACTTGTCAGCGTTGCAACCCGATGGCCACCCCTGCTCGATTTAGGATCGAGGGGTCTGAGGCAAATGCTGGCTGGCAAGCTTCCGGTCCCTGGCGTTCACTGCCCCGCTCTCAACAAGACCACCTGCTTTTCCTTTGGTGAAGCTGCCCCTTCTCTTTTCTCAGCCATGAGGTATGGGGGATGGACACTTTCCTACCCCAAGGAGGAGATGAACTGGTCCAATTGATCAGTGTGTCCTGTCACCCGGGCCACCTGGAGGGAATGGCTCAGCGATGGGCACGTGACCCAGTTTCAGATCTGTGTGTGGAGAAACTGCTCTTTTCTCCTGACTGTGGAGTCTGAGGGTATAAGGGCAAGAGGTGGGAATCACTCTAGCTATTGAGGGATCACAGGGAAAGCGCGGAGCTGGGACTGGGCACTGAGGTGGGGGTGAGGCTCAGGATGCAGCTGACACGGTACAGACACAGCGTGAGCTTCTGGATCAAGCCCTGCTTGATCCTGACTACGGCATTCATTACAAAGAAATGTGTCATTTTTCTTCTCTTTTTTTTTTTTTTTTTTTTGTGGTACGTGGGCCTCTCACTGCTGTGGCCCCACCCCGCTGCAGAGCACAGGCTCTGGACGCACAGGCTCAGCGGCCATGGCTCACGGGCCCAGCCGCTCCGCGGCATGTGGGATCCCCCCGGACCGGGGCACGAACCCGCGCCCCCTGCATCGGCAGGTGGACTCTCAACCACTGCGCCACCGGGGAAGCCCTCCCTAGATTTTTTTAGACGGCACATTTCCTGATTCCTCCTTGCCTTGTGCCAGGCACCGAGCCATCTGCCCTTACAGACCTTTCCTCTTCCAGCTGCACAGTGGCCCCGTGGGCTGTGGATTATTTACTCAGTTTGACAGTCACACACCCCCAGGACCAGACAGCTTAAGAGGCTTATGTAAGGTCACACGACCTCTAAATGATGATGCCAGACTCCAAGCCAGAACTCCAGTCTGGGCTGGAGCAGGGATCTTTCTGCTTTCATATGAGCTTTACGTGTGACTTTGGGAGGGCTTCCTGTTAAGTCCCCATTGGCCAATCACAAGATGGGTGACCGATGAACCAAACAGTTATAAGAAAGGCTTGGGTAGAGGAAGAGATGAGAGGATGTGCTGGACACACACCTTCTGACCCAAAAGAGAAACGCTCATCCGTTATCCCTCCACCCTGATGCTACCTTGCCCTTTCACCGTTCGTGTCTCAGCTCCATCGACCCGCTCACAGCCATATCCTTGCCCGGTCGCTACAATCATATCGGACTCGATGAAGATGAACATCACTTTTTGCAGCTAACTTTATATCCTTAACATTTTCTATCCGCATAACCTCCGTAATGAAGATTTCCATCCTTTTGCACGACTGCATTGTGCTGACGCATCATACTTTCCTGATTAGCTCTACTACCGTGAGACATTTAGGTTATTTCTGTGGTTTTCTCTCACCTTTCCCTACTTCCAATAATTGTGCAATAGACATTTTTGCGCCTATAGTTTTTTATTTCTGTTGAGTGATTTCTTCAGGGTAAGGAAGTGGGATTGTCAGGCTGGAAGACATAAGTATTTCTAAGGCTCTTCCTAAGAGCCTTTCGGCTTTTCAAAAGCTTTCCACCCATTTCTATTGCTGCCAGCAGGGTAAGACTGCCAGTTTTACTGTAACCTTGCCAGTGCTAGAGGTTATCGTCAAAAATCATTTGTTAACTGAGGTTTGTTAACATCAAATGGGATGTTAAGGTTGCTCTAATTTTATTTCTTGATTACAAGTGGTGCTGGATATTTCTGTATGGGCTTACAGGCTATTTATATTTTCTCTTGTGTGGACAGGCTTCTGTCTTCTGAAACTTCACGCTCCATTACATGGATGTCTATGTGCTGGGGAGGAGGGGGGATGGAGACTGGGGCAGAAAGATGCTAAGTTTACCACTGTCAGAGCAGCTCCCACCGAACAGAAATGATTGTACTGAGGGGCCCTTCCTCCCTCAGCCTTCAGGCAAGACATGAATGCCTTCAGAAACCCTCATAAGTCAAGGTTCTCACCTCTGGGTCCAGAACTTGCTCCTCAGTGGGTGAAACAACCTGGCTGAGGTGGGTGGAGTCACTTTCGATGGCCTGGAGGACTTTCAGAACCTTCTGCTGGTGTCTGAAATTGATTTTGTTTTAGCAAACAGGTATCTGATAGTAATGATACACAACAGAGAAAGTTTGCATCAAGGGTACCAGGCTTACTTTTCTATTTCAGAGAGAAGTAACAATTTGAGACGAAAATACTCACACCCCCGCAGACAGATCAAAGGCGCACACCAGCTGGTTTTCTCCCTTTATAAATAATTGTACAATTAGCGATGAAAGAAGGGCCAAGTAAGAGAAATTGCTTGGGGCCAGATGGCCAGACGATCTCCTTAAGCTGACTGCTAGGCTGTAAGAGTCTAGAGCGGGTGTCTACACAGTACATACAGCCTGCAGGTCAAATGCAACCCGCAGCCTGTTTCTGTGTGGCCTGCAAGCTAAGAATGGTTTTTACATTGTTAAAGGGTTGTTAAAACAAACAAAAAGTGAAAAGCCTGAAGTATTTGCTATCTGGCCCTTTACTGAAAAAGTTTGCCGCTCCTGATCTAGTGACCTGCCTTGCATCTCTAGTTTCTGAGGACACAGCATTCCAAACCTAGCAGAGAGCTGTGTGCAAACACATCCTACTTGTGCTGTTTAAGGCTGAGAACTCCCAAGACCCTGAAGCACAAAGGATCTTGATGATGAAGAAAGAAGCATTTGGTGATGTGTGTGCTGCTTGTAACATATCCTGTATCTGTATCTGATGTAACATATCCTCATGGCCCAGCCCTTTCACTCGCGGAGGAAACTCCAAGTTCTTATTCATGGCCACAGTGGTCCACAGCATGGTTTCCAATCTGGGGTCTGCAGACTCCTGGAGGAGTGGCTAGCACTGCCTTTAGCCTATTCAGAGTTTTTCTACAAATTATCAAAGGCAAACACCCTCTGGATGGACACAGATCTGGAGAGTACATAGATTGGCCAGGAAATTCCTCCTTTGTGCAGAGAAAAAGCCCCCATGCCTTTCGGGGCTGATGCAGCCTCAGGCCAGAGCCTCAGCTTAGCGACCACTGTGCAGGCTGGATTTCAGCTGCTCTCACTGCTCAGCCAGGCATGGGCGCTGCACAGACTGCCACGCGCCCAGCTCTGCACAGCGGCCAGGGGAGCATGGTGGGGCTCAGATGTGTGCTTGAAGCTATTGGCTCGGCATGGTGCATCTTTCTGAAGATCAGTGTTGCCTGATGACTACAGGAAAGCCTTTATTTTGATAATAAAACTTGACAGTGCCAATCACTGATGCTATGTGTGAACGGAAGAGAATGCTGCATTTGAACAAACTCTGAATAGAGAAAAGAAGGTTCAGAGGACACTGCCTTGGGTCACTGTCTGCCGCGAGGGCTGCTTCCGTGGAAACCTTTGAGGAGACTGAAGTTTTACATGGGCTGAACGGAACTGAACAAGCCAAGAGACATGTGTCTGAAAGAAATCAAGTCAATTTCAGGCTTTTGGGTTGGAGGGAGGGTGAGGGGGGATGCAGTCTAAGGGAGCAGTTTTAAATGGTCTGGAATCAAAATGCAAAGAAAAACCTCAGTTAATAAGATGCTCATGGCTGGATGGCTACAGGTTGCTGTTTTTGTCTTGAAGCTGCCTCGATAAGTACCTGCTCCCCAGAAGGCCGATCCTGTCAATGGCTTCACTGACGGCTCTGGCTCCCCCTGCTGCCCTGGACTGCTCCTGCGAGCTGGTCGCTGTGCTCGTTGCCGCGGTGATGGAGGGCAGCTGAGGGAGGATGGAAAAGCTTATTAAACAGATGTCCGAGGCCACCCTCCCGGCCCAAGACACAGCAGAGCCACGGTCAAAGGGACACACTTCGCAGGCCATCAGTCTTGTTGCGGGAAACTGGGAACAGGAATGAGGGTGAAAGCGACTACCTGGGGCTGATTAGATCTAGAATCCCCTCACATCTTTGCAAAAAACGTGGGATCTCAGTTTCTTATGATCTGGGAGGTCCCAGGAAACGGTCTGCTTCAATGAGCCATTGAAAAATTTCTCTCATCAAAACCTTTCCCCTCCTCCAGTGAACCTCTGTTCTGTTTGCTACAAAGCAATGGGACTCCATGGAGAATGCCAGTAACATTAGACCCTTTCATTTTTAATCCTCCAAGCCTTTTCCCCTTCTTTTCCATTTATCATTTAAACTAGAAATGTGCTCTGATCTTTATCTGCAAATAATTGTAGTCATTGGAAGCTCTGTGAATCAGGGGTCAGGTCATCCAGAAATCCTGGACCGCAGGGTGGGCAAAGTGGCAAACCTGTCAGAAATATTGGCTGGCAATGGTTTAAGATGACTGGGAAGTAATAGAAAAAGTAGGAGCGATGCCAAAAGAAACCCACTATGTTGCTCTGGGGTGCTGCCCTGCCCAGCACTCTGTTTCATGAGCGTTCTCTCCAATTCCTTACTGTCCACCCCTTATCTTCCCCTGTCCTCTTCTCCTCCACGACTCTCCCACTCCTGGAACAGGCCAGGCTCATTCCCACTTCGAAGCTTTTCCCCTGTTCCTTCCGCTTGGAATGCTGTTCCTTTGTTGGCTGGCTCCTTCTTACTAGGCAGGGCTCAGCCTCAATGGGACACCTTCCAAGGGGCCTCCTTGGATCCCCCTGTGGGAGGTAGCCACCATCCTATACCCTGTCACTCTCTCACCCATTAGCACCTTGTATTGCCACCTCTCTCTGAAGTCACCTTGGTTATATACGGCTTTATTCGTATATACTCGAATCTTGTCTGAAAGCTCCCCGAGGCCAGGGGCTGCTCTGGTCTGACTCGGTCACCCCTGTATTCTGAGGACACAGCATAGACTTGTGCACAATCTAACAAAGACGTTCCCAGGTGTTTTATTAATTCACGACCATATTTCCTGGGGCCATCTTTGCTGAGATTGGCCTAACTGACCTAGATAGGTGTAGATATAAATTTATTTATTTAGGATACTGAGATCCTTTTCTGTGTTATCTTGTCAGGAAATGGAAACGTAACAAGGGACTGGAATCAGCAGGCCTGGGTGAGGTCTGGCTTCCACTCATAACCTTGGGCAACGTGCTTCAGCACGGGTCTCCCCATCTGGGAGATGGGCAGAATGCTGGCGTGCTCAGGGAGCACAGTGAGGTCCTGCTGGGACCGTGTGGAGAAGGCCCTCTGGAGACTGTTGGCTGCTGTGGGAATGGGGCTCTGCTGTCCCTCTCTGGCCTTCACTGACCTCAGGGGTCTCCTCCTTCAGCAGACCGGTCCATGACTCTGCTGGTGGTCTCTCTGTGCCCTGGAAGGATGGAATCACATGATCTGAGGTCAGAATAAAGCCATCCACTTCACATCCTTCACTGATAGAGGTACAGACTGTCTTGAGGTCATAGACACAAATGTCAGGGGCAAAAGGCCGAGCACCAGGAAAACAGACAACAGATGCTGCTTGGTGATCACCCCAAAGAGCAGCCCGCCAACAGGGCCTGGGGAGCAACTAGCGGTGTGGACGGGGCCCTCGGCTTTCAGGCTGGCAGACCTCAGCCACTTCCACAGACATGCCACGAGAAAGCCACCCGGATTCCCTGGGTGCCATCAGCCGTATCTATAAACCAGTGTGATGAAACCAGCCCTGCCTGTTTCAGGGCTACTGTGAGCATCAAGTTAAGGTAAAAGATTTCAACAGGTGAGTCAGGGAACATGCTTCTGAGAAAGGATGTACACATGAGGGATGTCCAAGGCCTCCAGCTCCCCAGAGACCCCCGCTCCACCCCACCATCCATCCTCCTGTTTGCTGCTCAGAGCCGAAGGCCGCGGGCACCAACTCAAACACCTGTAGGGCCAGAGGGGTTTCCTGAGAAGGTGAAGCAGGCCAGGAGCAGGACATTAAGGAGTGGTGAGGACTGCGGAGGCTGGAAGGGCTCATGCTCCGGGGAAGGGGGTCTTTCCAGAGAAGCCAGAGCTGGTTGTTTGCGCCATCCTGTCTCTGACACACCAATGCTCAACTCTAGTTGAAGGTATTCAGGGTTTGTAAGGAAATCAGCAAGAATTGGAGGCATATTAGCGTCCAACTTAGGCCTAGGAAACAAAAGATGGAAAGGAGGTGGAGGAAATGGGGACTTCGACAGGTCAGTAGCAGCTGTGCACCAGACAGTGGATGCGCTGATTGGTCTAAGGTCAGGGATGCCTCCACCGCTCTCTCTCCTCACCATGTGCTCTTGGCAAGCACTGCTCAGACACTGCCTGGTCCCTGAGTAGCCCAAGTCCTTCTCCATCCTTTCCCTCTGCCTGGGAACGCACCTGTGGTGGGCTGGCGGGGGGCTCAGCCTTTCTGCTGAGGATCGCCCTCTGCAGGGCTTCGTTCTCCACCTGGATGGCTCTGAGCACGGCTGAGGCATCCTCCTCTCGGTCCTCAGCCTTGCACACGAGTTTTCGTGTTGCTGATAGGGGTCTCTCTCGGTGGCTTCCAGGTCCTGGGGGCAGAAAACAGGGGGTGAGCCTTTAGATTGCATTCTTGGAGGGCAGCTCCCAATTGATTAGACTCAAATTGAGGAACGTTCTATAAAAACAACTGGCCCATACTCTCCAAAAATGTCAAGGTCAAAAAAGACAAAGACAGCCTGGAGAGCTGCTCTAGATGAAAGCAGACAGGGCAGACATGGCAGCTGAATGCAACGGCCATCCCGAGGCTGGATCCTGGGTCGGCAAATATCCCTGTAAAGAACACTATTGTAGCAAGTGGAGAAATCCGAGTAGAGTCTGTGACTTGGATAACAGTATTGTATTAATGCTAACTATCCTGAATTTCATACGTAAGTGCACTGTGGCAACGTAAAATGAATGCCCTCGTTCTTAGGAGATACATACTGCAGTGTTCAGGGTAAAGTGGGATGCTGCCTACAATTTAATCTCAAATGATTTAAAAATACACACACGCAGAGCAAATATAAAGCAACTGCGGCAAAATGTTAACAACTGGTGAACCTGGGGGAATGGGAGTGTCATTTGTAGTATCCTTGCAACTTGCCTTTACATCTAAAATTGAAATAAAAAGTTAGCCCTCTAACAAAGTGCCTATAAGGACTAATACCTGACATTGTGAAGAAGGATGGGTATTTGGGAATATTTTTGCTTTGTTTCATATTTACATGGGTAGTAAGAGTTACAAAGAAATTACTCCTCAACTGAAGAAAAAAATATTGCAAAGCTGTAGTCGGTTCTGGAAGTTCTAATGAGTGGAACACTGATTTTATAATATGCAAAAATATTTGCAATATATGAAAAAGTACCCAGCAAGACTGGTTGGAAAAAAATACATTATGGCACATTTACCCAATGGAATACTACGCATCTGTAAAAAGAAAGGCATTCTAAAATATCTATAGATAAATATGGTGACCTGAATGTGCTTCATAATCACCTGGGGTGTGGGTGTGGGTGCAGATGAAATTGGCCATCAATTGACCATTGCCAAGGTCGGGTAATGAACATGGGGGGGTTATGATAACATCCTCTCAAGTACTTATGTTTGGATTCTTTCTCTGTTAAAAAAAAAAATCTCCGTTTAAAAATAGAACTGCTCAAAATGTTTCCATTGGGATGTTTAAAGAGGCTTTAACCTACTGAATTTCAACCCCTCGGCAAATATTTATTGAGTGCCCCTCTGCCAGGCTCTGTTCTTAGCACTGGGGACCATACAGATCAAGACCCTTGCCCTTGTAGAGAGAGGCAATAGGCAGAGAAACAAGAAATACTCTAGGGTGTTCCATGTCAGAAAATGATATGGAAAAACAAGAAAAGCAGAGCAGGGTAACAGAGATGGGGTGAGCAGGGTGGCAGGTTGGCCACACGGAGCGTTGGGGAAGTGTGGTCCAGGAACCAGTGTGAAGTGAGAGGCCCGAGAAGGGGTGGGGAGGGCCAAGGCAGGGCCTTGGAGGACACTGTAAGGCCATTACTCCGAGAGAAATGGGGAGCCACTGAAGGCTTGAAAGCAGGGGACCTGATTTGACTTAGGTGCTGAGTGGAGAACAGAATGAAGGGAGGTGAGGGGGAAAGCAGAGAGGCCAGTTAGGGCTCCTGCAGCTGCCCAGTGGAGCGGGGACACAGAGTGTGGTCAGTTTCTGCGTGTATGTTGCAGACAGAGCCAGCAGGATTTCCTGACAGAGTAGATGTGGCTGGTGCAGAAAGAGAGTCAAGAACGATGCTAAGGTTCTGGCCTGAGGAAACAGATGATGGGGTTGCTTTCAGTTGAGCTGCGGAGGGCTGTCAGAGGAGCAGGTTTGGAAGCGAAAAGCAGGGGCAGCTTGGAGCCCAGAGATGTGATTTTGGCATCAGGGTGGAGCTGTCGAGTTGGCCTGTACACACACACGAGTGTGGAGTTTGGGAGGGTGGTCTGGGCTGGAGATGTGAATTCAACCTAGGCAACTTCGTTGCATCATTTAACAACAGTATCAAAGACTGACATTAACGCTGGCCTATAACGAACTGGGAATTGATAGCTATGACTTCTCTGGGGAGATACAGATATAGATATAGATAGCCTGGTACAAATTCTTGTTAAAAACCAGCAACCTGGGCTTACCTGGTAGCACAGTGTTTGAGAGTCTGCCTACCAATGCAGGGGACACGGGTTCGAGCCCTGGTCTGGGAAGATCCCACATGCCACGGAGCAACTAAGCCCGTGCACCACAACTACCGAGCCTGCGCTCTAGTGCCTATAAGCCACAACTACTGAGCCCATGTGCCACAACTACTGAGCCCACGCACCTAGAGCCAGTGCTCCGCAACAAGAGAAGCCACTGCAATGAGAAGCCCGCGCACCGCAACGAAGAGCAGCCCCCGCTCACCACAACTAGAGAAAGCCTCTGCGCAGCAATGAAGACCCAACGCAGCGCGCAGCAACGAAGATCCAACGCAGCCAATAAATAAATAAATAAATAAAAATGGAAAACAAACAAACAAACCCCAGCAACCTTCCATCCTCATGACCTCAGTAAACAGGCACCGCTGATTATTAGAGATTTAGTTGGAGCCCTTTATCCTCCTGCTATGTTAGAATTTGCATCTGAATGAGGCTTCAAGTAGCAACACCAAGAATGGCTTTGGCAGGAGAGGGAGTATAGCCAGGTACTGGGGTTGGTGGAAAAGCTAAGCTAAAATGAGGGGACACCAATTTCTTCCAGGCATCCAGGAGAGGGGCTTTGGATGTGAATGCCCAGGGACCGGGCAGGCACTCTGAGTGAGTGAGACTGAACTCGGGGTGGGTGTGGGGGAGATGGGAGGCAGCTGAGCCACTGCCCAGCTCCAGCCAATGCCTGCCAGACAAAGCTGTGCTTCTAGTGTTGCCAGGTTTTTCTCCAAGAAAAGTTAGAATCTGAAGTTTACGTGAAATCCCCCTGAATTTATTTGTTCATAAAGTATTTCAGTTTTTAGGAAACGTGAAAGCCAACAGGACCCAAGGTCTGGTCTAATACAGGCCACGGCAAGTCCCAGCTGCTCCTCCAGGAAAGTCAAGGGCACCCAAAGGAAGCCCTGCATGCCTTCGGATGGCTGGCTGGCCTGGGTGATAATGGCAGTGGGTCATTCTCTGACTTTGATGGACTCTTGCTGCGGCTCCATTACTGCTCCTGGGGACATAGAGTAAGGCACTGCTGGCAATGTGACCTGGGGATTCTGTTCTCCCCAGTCAAGGCTGCTTTAACTCTGTTTTCCTTTCTTATCAGCTACTCGACCTGCTCTGCAACTCGAGGGATAAGAAGGTGAGACCTGGAAGGAGCTGATGGAGGTGGGGATTCTCATTGCCATGGAAACACTGTGGGGCCAAGGGGTGTGGGGAGGCCACTGGGATCTTCCTCACGCAGGTCCCTGATGCAGCTGGGAGGACAGGAAAAGAAAGTGAAAGAAAAGAAGTGGCCTTGAGCCCGTCTGGAGCTGGAACTGAGGAATCCTGAAGCACCAACACACCCTCACCCCAAGGGGGGCTGAAGCCGAACTGGGTTCCCCGCAAGGCACAGGCATTAATGACACAGGCTCTCAACTGTCACTACACTGTGGGATAAGATGCTGCTCTGGGTGCCGGGGTACAGACGTGGGTGGGAAAGGCATGTCCCTGTCCTCACAGACCTCACAGTCATGGGGCACAGACAGACACGGATCAGACACACAGGACACGCCACCAGCAGGTGATGAGTGCTGGGGAAAAAGTCAAGTGGGATAAAAGCTAGAGATGACAGGAGGGGGAAGGACACTCGGTCAGGGAGGGTGACATCTGAGCAGAGACCTGAAGGCGGTGAGCCTTGTGAATACCCATATGGGGAGGCTGTTCCAGGCCAAGGGAGCAGCAGGTGTCAAGGCCCTGTGATGGGCGGAGCTTGGCACAGGGAGGAATGGCAGGGGGCTGGCCTCGGGGAGCGATGGGAAGCCTGGGGGGCAGCGGGGGGTGGACAGGTCTCATGGGACCCTGAGACCACGTAAGCCCCAGAGGCCTCCTGCTACTCCAGGAGGCCACGCCCACCTCGTTTGCTGCTATGCCCTGGCTCCGGCATTATGATCGTTGTCAAATGAATGGATGGAAAATGATTTCAGTTCCCAACCTTGTCAATCTCAGTATTTGTGAATATCATTAAAACATATCATTTCCTCCTCCATCTGCAGTAAAGCAGAGCTGAGAAATTTAAGGCCCCTTCAGATCCTACAGAGGATCCTACAAATAAGGGCCAAGGATCTTGTGTACAGCTAAACAAACGCGCCAGCACTCTGACACTGGGGGTGCGAGCCCCAGCATCAGTGCGAGGCTCGGGCAACGCCAGGATAAGCAGAACCTGAGATTCGTAGGCTCCTTCTGCATTTCATGCCTACAGCACTTATAAAGTCAGTCGAAGGAGAGCCCCTGCGTGGTAACCCTTGCCTATTTATTGCCACTATGTGGGCAAGAGCCCCGTCCGCTTGTGCCTCAGTGGCCTGGGGCTATGGTGGAGCATCGCGCCCGACAGAACTATCTGTTCTTGGCCACTACAACCCTGCGATCACCTCTTCTTGGAAAAGGATAATCAGGAAGGCATTTTCTTCCAGCGGGGTTCAGCTTTGTCTGCACAAACCCTTCTGCCCTGAGCGCCTTTCATCTGGGAGGGAATGCTCCTGCAACAACACGATCGTTGGGTCCTGCCTGTGCCCTTTGAGTCATATTAGGCTAAGAAGATGCTTTCAAAAATTAAATCAGGCTTTCTCTGAGTGAAGGTCAAGGCCACAGCTCCACCACCAGAGCTCTCCCCACCCACGGCTTCCCAGAAACGCGTGTCCACAGTGCCTGTGTCCTCCTGAATCACATCCCCGCTGCCCGGCTGTGTAGACTGTGCGTTTCCTCATTGCACACGAGGTCACTGCCTTTTGATTCCATTGGAAGTTCTCCTTGCTCGCTTGGGTGAGCCATTTCCGCACTGGCCTGAGCACCACGTGAGGGTGGATTTATTCTCATCACAGATCTGGAGAACGGTGGATTTATTCACACAATAAATCATTACCACCAGCAAAAGCCAAATGGCACATTTTAATTTATCCCAAGCAGCTCTTTTCTGGTTGAAAACCACGCCTCTACTGTTAACTTCACTTTCTCTTTGCTTCACTAGAACTTGGCTTTCATCTCTCTTGCAGGGAAACAAAAGAGTGTATCAATTCAGGAGATTTACCATGAATGCAGCACATGTCACAAAGAAGACGTGAGGACATGGGGGCTGTCCGGTCAGCTCACCAGCCAGGTGGCTTCTTCCCACTCGCCAGCTATGACTCGAAAAGCTCAAAGTCAGCGTCTCAGCAAAATGACCCCTTCCCACATGCAAGGACCTTTGAGATCACCTGGGAATCCACTGAAAAGGCAAACATTACATCTGAGAATCACAAGGGTCTAACGTAGAGCTCATAGGCCGGCAGCCCAAAGGCTGAAGCCAGCCTGCAGATTGCGTTGTGTGCCTTTTTTTAAAAATTGGAAACAGATGCTAAGTTAAAAAAAAAAAAAAAGAATAGGAAATCCACCTGAAAATCGGGATTCCTGGCATCTCTTGAAAAGTCCTATGATCTGACGTGGCAATCGTGAGCTGGGGAGCAGCTCCTGCTGCAGGCGTGGCATCAGTGATGGTCACGTGCCTGTAAGCCCGGAAACTGTGCACGATTTGTGCCGTGAAAGGTCCAGGGAAACAGCTGGCTTAGCCCTGTTTTGTCCTGAGCTGCACATACTCCCTCTAAAATCCACCCAGGAGGGGGAAGGGGGCTGCCCGCTGGGACAATAGCTTACATCTGAGTATTCCAGAGCCTCTGTGCATTTTAAGTTGGCTCAGCCTCAGCAGGCTACACGCTCCCCACAGCGTAGGAGACCGCGACAAATGGCCACAAACGCCTCCCACCTGCATCCCACCTGCAGTGTGCCATATCGCCCTGTGACGCTGCAGCATCTCCCATCAAAAGGCGGGTGGAATCTGTTTCTCTAGCTGGGCATGGCCTGGTGACTCCCTTTGGCCAACAGGTCCTTAGCAGTCACGACCAGGCGGAGCCTAACTTAAGAAAGGACTTACATGCTGGGGTGTGTCCTCTCGGGCTGCCTGGAGACCACCAGGCGCTGGGTAATGAGACCACGTGGAGCAGAGACGAGGTGTCCCAGCTGAGGTCCTTGGGCCAGCGGGACTGCCAGACGCTGTGAGGGTGGCCGTGCGAGACCAGCCAGCCAGGCACCCACTACGGAACCGGCCAGCCCCCTGCAGCAATAATAGAAGCATTGTCGCAGCCACCGCAGTGTGGAGGGGATTGTTAGGCGGCAAGAGATAGTTGATAACACCTGGCTCGTCCAGGCCTGTGCTCTTCTCAACTCTGAGGCTTATTTGGGGGCCTCTCCACAGGCAGATGCTGTCTGTAACCCTTAACACTCATCCTTCTGCTGCTGTCTCTTCGTGAGCCCAGGAATGCACGTGATTTTTAATGATTTTTTCAAGGAAGGCAGTCAGCCCCCATCTCCCCATCCCTGACTAAATGACTTTACTCTTTCCTCGCATATTACAGTCCTTTGCTCTGCACCCGGCCCCTGAAGAATTTGTAGCAAAGTGTCCTGTGTGGTTAGTTTTTGTAAGAAATGAGCAGCAGTTGCTTTCATCCTCCCAGCAGCAGTGACCTCCACGGCATCCATGTTTCCCTTCAGGGAACCACCTCTTCTCCATCTTCTCAGTCTACATGCTTTGGATGGATCTGGATCTGCCCCCACTCCTGGCCCTTCCTGGGCCCTTGAGAGAACAGGTGCCTCTCCCTGACTACAGAGACTGGAGATCGGTTCAGGGTAGAGCTGGTTCTTGGACTCTGCTGGAACTATTTGGAGAGGAGCAGTCCCTTTCCCCAGGGGTTGCTAAGTCAGTAAATGCGAGCCTGGAGCCACCAGGGACCATCTCCGGGCCACGCCTGAGACTACAGATGTGGTTCTCAAAGTGTGGTCCCTGGAGCAGTAACATCAGTATCACCTAGGAACTTGTTAGGAATTAAAACACTTAGGCTCCACCCTAGATGCACTGAATTAAAATTTGGGCAGGGTCCAACAATCTGGTTTTAATTTGCTTGGCCAATAATTCTGATGCATGTTCAAGTTTGAGACCCACTGGACTCAAAAAGTAGAGCTAAGTGATGAAGAAACAGTTCCTGGTGATAGCATCATCTGAGTACCTGGATCCCACCATACCTGAGGGCAGATCTATAGTCCTGGACTTTTCAGGTCTCTGAGTGATACATTTTCCTTTGTTGCTTCAGCCAGTTTGCATTTCTGACACTTGCTATTAATAATGAACACTGACATATGTTATGAGACTCTGGACTTTGGCAGAATGGTCTTCCTGCTGCAGGTTTTCTTGACAGAAATGCTAACTGCGCTAACTGCAGGGCTGTTAGGGTCTTCTAATTCACTCATGCTGAGGGGTGTTACTTTATTTCTGTGGTTGGCAGCTTGTCTGGGAAAAGTGGTTCCGATGTATAACTTCCCTAGAGCACTCTGACGACTTGGACAGTAAACTTTCTGCAGTAAAGACTGATCTTCTTTCACCTTCAACAAGACAACAGGTCTCTGGAAGTTTCCTGGAAGGCTTATTGATAGAGACCAAAGTAACCCAGGGCATGAGGCCCTTTCATTAGAACAAGGGACAGTTATAGTGATAGAGAGGAATTAAGCTCTCGTGGAGTTGCACCATATGTACATTTAATTGACATAAATTCAATTTTATGACCTTGGCCAAAGATAAAGGAGCAAGGAGAGAAATAACTCTTTTAAGAGAGCAGGCAATAGGTTACACTTATGGTAATGGCAGGCTATCTAATCCAGACCAACCTGTCCCTGGAGCACAACTAGAAAACCTGGACCAAATAGTAGTATAAAAATCTGTTTATAAAAAGAAATCTGTTTGAAGGCATGGAGAGTGAACAGGGCTGTGAAGGCTTACAGGCAGGAGAACAGAAACCTAGAGAGGTTACCCCAGCACCTGGGAAGTGTTTCCCCTCAAGGTGCTGCTGATTCTAAGAGCTGTTGCAAGGCTGAGAAACTGAAGAGAGCTGGTGACAGACTCAGGGCTACAGCCTGAGAGTCAGGGTGACCTAGAAAGAGCCAGGCGTGAAGGGCACAGAAAGGTTAACAATGTAGGCAAATCTAAATTACTATTGACTATTTTAATAATAATAATGATGTCTGGTGAGGTTTAATATCTAGAGAGAATTAAAATGCATGACAATAATAGCATTTAATTTTGGATGGGAGTAAATGGAGTTACACAGTTGTAAGGTCTCCACTGAATGAGAAGCGGTAAACTTGCTAATTTAAAGTAGACTCTAATAAGTCAAGAATACATGTTGCAATCTCTGGTAATGACTAAAGAATAGTAAAAGAATGTATAACTAACAAGCTAACAGAGAAGAAAAAAGAGGGATAATGTAAAGTAATCAGTTCAGAATAGGGCAAGAAAGGAGAGAAAAAGGAACATAAAACAGGCAGAACAAATAAAAAGCAAACAATAAAATGGCAGATTTAAACTTAAATATATCTGCAATTACATTAAACGTAAATGGACTAAATGTGCCCATTAAAACACATCGATTGTTAGAGGATAAAAATAAAAACCAATTACATGGGGTTTACAAGAGACAAAACCCAATGTAAGGATGCAGAATGTTTGAAATGAAAGAATGAAAAAGGATACGCTACATAAACACTAACCAAAAGAAAGCTGGTCAACTTTAAGACAAAAGCATTATTAGAGTGAAAAAGAGACAACACATGGTGATAAAAGGTTCAGTTCACCAGGAAGATATAAGAAGGCTGATTTTGTATGCCCCCCAGAAAGACGTCCCCCCCACAAACAGAAAGTAAAGCATCTAAGCAGTCCAGATTTTGCCTGGACAAGTGAGAGCTGGTTTGAGTCTTCTGTCCTTTCAGCAAGTCTCAGGGTCCTGTGCCTCTGGAGGAAGGAATATCTCAGTGACCTCAGCATAATGCCAGTGCTTAAAGTCACATTTTCCCTACAACCAGACCCTAAACAAGGCCAACTGCTTCATCTGGAGCTTGACCAAGAAGCTGTGATTGTCCCCACCCTGGAGGAGCAATGACTCTCTTGGGCTTAAGGAGAGGTGATATGGCTGTATGGGGTTTTCTAGATGGAGCCACATACGCTGCACTTGATCATCAGTCTGAGGGATTTTCAAGGGTAGCTTTAACCACCTGCACTTTTTTTTGACCTTTAGAACCTCATCCCCGTGGGACATGTGGCTCCAACGTCATCCCATTTCAGTATGAGAGTGGTAACAATGCCATGGTTTTCAACTTTCCTTTTTTTCAAATTTGGCTAATGTAGGAGCCATGTATACTTAACAGATAAAGGCTGACCTCCAAACCTGTTCAAAATGAGGACTCCACCACCTCAAACAGTGTCATCTTTAAGGGAATCAATGGGACAAACTGAGAACCAAGTGCCAGGGACAGCTGGTAATCTGATTTTTACCAGATGGACCCAGTGACATGTGCTGTTTATGTGAATGCATTGCTTCCTTGCCATGGTGGTCAGGAAACTCAAAGTCATGAGTGTGACCCCCTGAGGCATTCATCTGTTCACCCCTTGGCGTCAACTTATTGTTCCTACTCTTGTTTTCCCTTTACCTTCAATTCCTTACATATTTGTTAAAGTCTTCTTGCACTACAAAATTTGTTAGAACATGTCAGAACTTCTTGGAGAAAGGCAGATTATAAATAATTAATGAAGCTCGACTTCTCAAAAAACTGTACATGAAGGTGTGTGTTACAGTTGACTTGTTGAAGTCTTAACCTCCTAGTACCTGTGAATGTGACCTTATTTGGAAATAGGGTCTTTGCTGATGATCGAGTTAAGATGAGGTCATTAGAGTGGGTCTCAATCCAATATGACTGGTACCCTTATAAAAAGGGGAAACTTGGACCCAGAGACAGATGTGTATACAGGAAAGCACCAGGTGAAGGTTGGAGTTATGTTGCCACAAGGCAAGGAAATACCAGAAGCTAGGAGAGAAGCCTGGTGCAGATTCACCCCTAGTGCCTTCAGAAGGAACATGGCCCTGCTGACACCTTGATCTTGGACTTCCCAGCCTCCAGAAATGTGACACAATAACTTTCTATTGTTTAAGCCAATCAGATTGTGGTACTTTGTTACAGCAGCCCTGGGAAATGAATACAGTATTTGAAATGATTTTAGCTGATACATGGTTTAACTTTAAAAATGTTAACAGCTATATATTTATATTAATGAACATTAGAAAAAACAGAACAAGTGACTCCAACCTGTGGATTTTAGGCACGTCATTGCTTCGAACTAGACTGATGTGGGTATGTCGCAAGCAAATAGCAGTTTAGTTGACACACGAGGGGCCATGCAGTGGAGTGATTGAGAACAGATACTCTGCAGCCAGGTTTTAAACACTGGCTTTACACTTACTGGCTGTGTGACCTTGGACAGATTCCTCAACCTCTCTGTGCCTTGGTTTCCTCTGTATAATAGTGTTGATAATAGCAGTACCTACTGCACGGGGTTGTTTGAGTGATTAAATGCAAGATTAACACGTGTGGTACAAAACACAGCCTGGGAGCTGGTTCAGTGCTTTGTAAGTGCTGGCTCTTCATTTTATTACCCAGAAACGTAAATATTTAGTGATCATGGCCAGCACATGAAGGAGGGAGATCCCAGTAGGATGGCTGGGAAGGGTGCTTGACTGCCACTGTGCTGCTCCCACTCTACCAGGGGCTCTGGAAGTTTCCTGCACAGTGGCACTCCATCCTTGGTTTCATTTCTTTTAACAACTTGTCTTTTTTTTTTTTTTTTTTTTTTTTGCGGTACGTGGGCCTCTCACTGTTGTGGCCTCTCCCATTGCGGAGCACAGGCTCTGGACACGCAGGCTCAGGGGCCATGGCTCACGGGCCCAGCCGCTCCGTGGCATGTGGGATCTTCCCGGACCGGGGCACGAACCCGCGTCCCCTGCATCAGCAGGTGGACTCTCAACCACTGCGCCACCAGGGAAGCTCTTAACAACTTGTCTTGGAGGAATTTTCTAAAAAGCCATTTAAAATTTTTTCACATAGAGTGAACACCAGCAGTACAGACTGGAGTCCTGTCAACTCGAGCAGTGGTCAGTGGAGCCAGTCCAGGTGTAGAAGAAACAATGGCTCAGGGCTTGCCCTCCACACTCTCCACCAGCTGACCCTGAACAAGCACTTGCTCTGAGCCAGATGCTCCTCTAAGCAGTCTATCCATCCAGTCCTTTAATCCTTATACTGACCCTCAGAGGAGAGTCTTACTCTTATCCCTGTTTGGCAGATGGGAGAGTGAGGCCCAGAGAGGTTAAGTAACCTGCCCAAGGTCACAGAGCTGGTAGGTGGACGGGAAGGATTTGTACCAGGTGGTCAGGCTGCAGAGTCTGCCAGGCCTATTTTCTGCCAGGGTTTCTGGGCTGGTGGGCTGTCAGCCCAGAGCTGCTGGTGGGCTGTCTCACCACCCTAAGAGCCTTTCTGAGAATGTAGGGCATAAAGGAGAAGCTGTGCCAAGAGGTGGGGAGAGGCAGACTGCTGACATACTTTAATTACTGGGGTCTGGCTGTGCCCAAAGATCACACCACCTTTGAAAGTTCATTTACATGGGTTGATGTAGATGCTTTTCCTTCAATCCACTCTTTTTATCACTTGCTATCTAAAAATGCTTTGCCTTGTATTAGTACGGTCTTTTCCCCCCATTAGTTTGCGGCTTGATAAGGGTTAATCAGGGAATGCTTGGGTGCCACGTTAGCCAGACCTCCACCTGCAGCTCTGCCTCAGGGCTCCACCGGCACCCAGAGCCTCCTGAGCCAGGGCACTGGAGGGTCAACACCACCAGGCACAGCCCACAACCCAGGACCGAAGGGAGGGTCCCTCATCCACCCCGGGGTGGGAGCAGGCTTCTGCTCAGCACCGTCCCCTGAGCTCCCCAGCCAGGTGGAGCTCCACTTGCCCAGTGAACTTGCTTGGTGATGAAGCCAGTTTGGGCTCCTCCCCTTTCCTGTCCCCTTCCAGGGACCACCTCCCAACTAGATTACTTGTTCTGGAAACCTTATCTCAGAGTCTGGTTCCGGGGAATCCAAACAAGACAATATTTACATAGCAGGGAACAAACGCTCAGTAAGTGGAAGGATTGTTATCACTTCCTCCGCCTCCTTCCATCTGCCCTGAGCTGCTGGGAAAAGAGCTTCAAGCCTCAGGCCTCATGCACAGAGTGCACTGGTCCAGATCTGGGAACCGTGACTGTTTGGAGTAGGGGTTGCTTCCTGCCACCAAGTCCCTTGGCCCGTCCCTGCAGGAAACAGTCCCTCCAGCTCCTCAGTAAACATGGATGGAATGTCTTGGCCACAGAGGTCACTTGTCTAACAAGGCTGGTTGCCTGGGGCTGGATTTTGCCCTAGGCACCCCACAGTTGCAAATTCTTAGGACACCAGGATGCCTTGAGCTCTCTGAGCTTCTTTGGATCACAGAAATCAGAAGCAAGTTGCCCTCACAGAGTCACCCCAGCCACTCGTTTGGATCCACAGCATCAGACTGAGATGTTTCATCTGCAGCCTCCAGTGTGTGCAGTCTGCTGGTTAAGGACACAGCAGTGGAGTCACTCCACCAGGGTTTGAGGCCTACATCTGCTGCTTTCCAGCTGTGTGAATCACCTGCTCTGTGCCTCAGTTCCTCATCTGAGAAATGGGCACAATCGGAGAACCCACCTCAAAGCCTGGAGATAAGGATTATAATTTACCTACACATATAAATTACATATATAATTTACTTATACAGTAAGTCCCCTACATACGAATGAGTTCTGTTCTGAGAGTGGGCTCGTAAGTCCAATTTATTCATAAGTCCTACAGAGTTAGCCTAGATACCCAACTAACACAGTCAGCTATATAGTGCTGTACCGTAATAGGTTTATAATAATTTTCACACAAATAATACATAAAAAACAAACACAAAAAATAAAGAAAAATTTTTAGGGGACTTCCCTGGCAGTCCAGTGCTTAAGACTCTGTGCTCCCAATGCAGGGGTTGTGGGTTCGATCGCTGGTTGGGGAATTAAGATCCCACATGCCGTGCGTGGTATGGCCAACAAACAAACAAAAACAACAACCACACATTTTAAATCTTACAGTAGAGTACCTTGAAAAGTACAGCAGTGCAGTACAACAGCTGGCATACAGGGGCTGGCATCGAGTGAACAAGCAAGAAGAGTTACTGACTGGAGGAGGGAGAGGAGGTGGGAGACGGTAGAGCTGAAGGATCGTCAGCAATAAGAGATGGAGGGCAAGCTGCAATTTCACTGAAGCCTGACGTTGATGGAATCCATGTTCACATCTTTGAAAGTTTGCAACTTGAAGGTTCGTATGTAGGGGACTTACTGCATATAGGTGAGTAAATTTCATATAGAATTTATATATATATATAAGTAAACTATATAATGTATATAAGTAAATGATAAGTAAACACATAGTAAATTGTAATAAATAAAAGCTTACAATGGTGGCTGGCTCATGGTAAGTACTCAATCAATGGACCCCCTCATTTCATTAGAAGGGCGGCACACGGACCTTTCACCATAAGCTTCTTTGTACCTTTAGAATGTCGTATTATCTGCATGTATTGTTACCCATATAAAGTAAAAGCAACTTCATTTAAAAGTAAAAACAAAAATAAAACAAATTTTCAGTTATAACCACATCTTGGTTTTAGACCCAGAAAGTAACTGTGACAGTTAATTTTAGGTGTCCACTTGACTAGGCCATGGGGAGCCCAGCTATTTGGTCAAACATTATTCTGGATGTTTCTGAGAGGGTGTTTGGGGGTGAGATTAACATTTTAATTGACAGAAGAAAACAGACTGCCCTCCATAGTGTGGGTGGGCCTCATCCAATCAGTGGAAGGCCTGAATAAAACAAAAACGCTGATCCTCCCACGAACAAGAGAGACTCCTCCAGCAGACTGCCTCCGGATTTCATCTGCAACACTGGCCCTTCCTGCCTGATGGCCTTCGAACTGGAACACTGACTTTTCCTGGGTCTCCAGCCTGCTGACCCATCGTATAGATCGGACTTGGCAGCCTCCATAATTGCATGAGCCAATTCCTTACAACAAATTTCTCTCTGGGGGAGGGAAGGACTGGGAGTATGGGGTTAGCAGATGAAAACCATTACATACAGAATGGATGGACAACAAGGTCCTACTGTATAGCACAGGGAACTATATTCAATATCCTGGGGTAAACCATAATGGAAAAGAATATATAAAAGAATGTATATATGTGTATAACTGAATAATTTTGCTGTGCAGCAGAAATTAACACAACATTGTAAATCAACTATACTTCAATAAAAAAAAAGGGGAAAAAAAATTTCTCCACCTCTCTCTCTCTCTCTCTCTCTCTCTATATATATATATATGTATGTATATATATATGCATATGTATATACACACACATCCTATTGGTTCTGTTTCTCTGGAGACGTTGACCAATAATACATTTGCTAAAGGTCAGCTCGGGCCTCGGGGAGGAGGGTGATGAAGCAAGAACTCCTCCATCACGGCACCCCACTGACCCAAAGCCCAGTCCCAACTGCTCGGGGGTGCGCACAGAACTCTTACTTGAGCTCGCCCTCTCCTGGTCTGGGAACACGGTCAGGGGCTGGGGGCTCAGGTTTGGCTCGGGTTTGCTGGGAATGAAGACCTCAGCGTTGTCCTTCCGCTTAGCAGACAAATTCCTTTCCTTTTTATTACCTGTAAAAACACAATAGTTTATATGTCAAACACTGAGTGCAGGCAGAGTTGGGAAATTCTGCTCCAGCATCTGTTTATTTGTGCGTTCACTTATTCATTCAACAAATATTGATGGAATCCCTGCTCTGTGCCAGGCACCATGCTAGTTTCGGATTTGTTGCAGACAACAAAACAAGTTTGCTGAGAGCCGTTATGTGCCAACTACCACATTTTGGTAAATAAGTGAATTCTTCTAGGACACACACAGGTTTTCAAGTTTTAACATTTCTGAATAGGGACAAGTCTTATAAACAATGGGGTACTGGGTTTAATTGGCAGCAAGATACATAAAATAATGATGTAACCAAGGATATGCAAGAGCAGGAAAAGTAGAGTAGGACATGTTTGCTGCCCTCGAGGCACATTCTCGCCGAGGAGAAGGATGGTTGAATGGATAAGACAGCAGGGCTGGCACAGAAGAGGGGATCCAGTGCCAGGGTCACAGGGGAGCACGCAGCCTGGAGGACGGGGCTGGCAGGCGTGCAGCCGACAGTGAAGAGAATACTCCCAGGCGGCCAGGGTGTCTCCAGGGCACAGAAGAGGGGGCATTCAGACACAGGGAACAGTGTGTGTGAAGGCTTGAGAGCTGACACGCGTGTGGCAGGTGAGTGGCTAGGGTCTGGGCTGGCGAGAGGAGCCAGACAGTGAAGGGCCCACGGGCCATGATTTATAGTCAGTGTTTCCCAAAGTGGGGTGCCTGGACCACTGGTGAAACAGGTGATGACTGGGACTTCCCTGGTGGCTCAGTGGATAAGAATCCACCTGCCAAAGCAGGGCACATGGGTTTGATCCCTGGTCCGGGAAGATCCCACATGCCACGGAACAACTAAGCCCGTGCGCCACAAGTACTGAGCCTGCGCTCTAGAGCCCGCGAGCCACAACTACTGAGCCCATGTGCCACAACTACTGAAGGCTGCGTGCCTAGAGGCCGTGCTTTGCAACAAGAGAAGCCACCACAATGAGAAGCCCGCGCACTGCAACGAAGAGTAGCTCCCGCTCGCCGCAACTAGAGAAAGCCGGCGCGCCGCAATGAAGACCTAACGCTGCCAAAAATAAATAAAATTTAAAAAAAGAAAGCAATTATCTATCTTAATGTGTATGGGAAAAAAATAAGCCACCAGTGTATCAAACCTTGATTTCATGTATATTATTGTGTGGAACAATCCTAGAATTACGGAAGAAAAGAAAGGAGTGAGGAAGGAAGGGGTGAGGGGGTGGAGAGAAAAGGAAAGAAGGAAAGAAGAAAGGTGACTGGTTTAAATAACAGCTAAAAAATAGTATGAGTGGTCTGTGAATTTGGCAAAAAAAAAAAAAATTGTGAAGAAGGTTTGCAAATGGCACAAGGCTGGGTAAAGTGGCTCCAGGCAGGAAAGCAGCTCAGGGGGCAGTGGGGCAGGTGGCTAAATGGAATAAAGAGAAAAAGCAGGGAGAAGAGTTAGGTCCCTAGACTTGGGAACCTCCAGCCTGGGAAGGTAGAAAACCTGGGAAGTGTCTGCTCAAATTCAAAGGAAATCCTGGGGCCTGTGGTGGCCCAAAGGAGGGAAGCCCCAGAATCAAGGGCGCTATGGGATTCTTGGGAGGTCAGGGTAGATGTTGGGGATGAGTGTGGGGTCTGTCCGACTTGCACTAACCTCTCTGCTATCCCCCCTTGACTTTGCAAAGGACACGTGTTTCTCTACACTTTCTCAAGTGGCTGCTCCCTGGTTGGCCTGATATCCAGGGCCCAAGGGCAGACCTGTGTGTGAGCGAGAAGCCACCATGTCCAATGGGACAAGACAAAGAATGGAGAGGGGCCAATGCCCAAACGGAGATTGGCTGTCTAAGTGCTGAAAATATGCTGATGATGGTAAGAACGACAGCCAGCATGTATTCAGTTCAGCCTCCTGAGTGCCCAGGCACCGGGACAGGTCCTTGGCACACACTGTCTCATGTGTTTCCCCAGCCATCCTAGTGGGTGGAGGGTAGGTAGAATAATGGACCTCAAAAATGGCCACATCCTAATTTCCGGAAGCTGTGGATGTGTTAGGCTCCAAGGCAAAGGGGAACTGACTGTGCTCGTCAGCGGACCTTAAACTAGGGACGTTATTTTGGATTATTCCGCTGGACCCAATGTAATCACAAGGGTCCTTAAAAGTGGAAGAGGGACAGAGTTTCAGTTTGGGATGGTGAAAAACTTCTGGTGATGGATAGTGGTGATGGTTACACAACAATGTGAGTGTACTTCGTGACACCGAATTGTGCTCTTAAAAAGGGTGAAGACGGTAAATTCTATGTTATGTATATTTTGCCACAATAAAACGCATGTGCGTGAGCAGCACACAGGTGGAAAAGTGCTGCAGAAGAGGAAGATCAAAGGGAGACGTCACTATAGAAGAAAAGCACAGAGAGATGCAACGTTGCCAGCTTGGAAGGCGGCCAGGAGCCAAGGTATGTGACAGCCTCTAGAAGCTGGAAAAGGCAAGGAAACACATTTCCCCCTAGAGCTTCCAGAAGGAACATAGCCTTGCTGACACTGTGATTTTAGCTCAGTGAGACTCATGTCAGACTTCTGACCCACAGAACCATAAGATAAAAAGTTGGTATTGTTTTAAGCCACCAAGTTTGGGCTAATTTGTTATAGCAGCAGTAGAAAACTAATACATACTATTGCAGAGTAAGGCTCTGAAGTTCAAGTCGTTTGTCCAACAACACAGAGCTAGGAAGTGAGGGAATCAGGATTTGACCAGGCCTGCCTGGCTCAGAGCCCTGCCCTTAACCACTTTATTCCTCTCCTCCACTTTATGGCTCCCTCCTCTCCTTAAGACTGCCCTCCAGCAACTCTGGTGGAGGTCTGCCTTGGCCATCAAAAGTCTATACAAGGATATTTCTTAGGGCACCAAAGGACCCAGACTCTTGGTGCAATCCTAAACCATCAGGTCTTCATGGAAAGTGGCCTGGGTTCACTCATTTTGTACCACCCTCCCCCCACCCCTGGCCCCGACTCACTCGGCTGCAGCCATACTGGCCCTTTCTCTGTACTTGGGTACACCAAGCTCTTTCCCTCTCCAAGCCCTTTGTGCTTTCTGATCCCTGGACCTGCATGGCTGTTTCCATGACTGCTTTCTCTTCCTCATTCCTGTCCCAGCTTAAACATCGCCTCCTCCGAGAAGGCTTTTCTGACCATTCCAGCTACTAGCATCCTTCTGTGACCCCCATCGCCCAACCAGTGTCCTGTTTTATAATCTTCACAACTTTCAAGACCATCAGGGTACCATTCTCTCCTCCCTGAATTCCTAACCCACGACCCAGCCCTCCCCTTTCCAGTTAATAGAAGAATAACTTCTGCTTTCTCTGTGCCGCTCATTCACTGCCCCTTGCTCACAGGGAGGACAAACGGGATGGGAGAGAGTGGGGGCAGGAAGCCGTCGGGGCTCAGCCCAGGCCTTCCTTCTTCCCTCTTCTGTGGGTTGGGGTGGGGTGGGGTGGGGTGCCGTCAGGTCACATGGCCCCCTTCTACCATGCTGATGCCATCAGCGGTCCAGCTCTGCCAACATCTGGGGTCAGGGGTCAGTCTATGGCAGAGGGGCAGTACTTTCAGTTGGAGAGGTAATCATTTGCTCACCTTCCATCCATGATCATTTCTCATTTGTTTCACAATTTAGAAGGGAAAGCAGAGCGGGGTGGGGTTACTTACTGGCTCCTCAAAGCCCAATTATCACTTTGTAACTTCATCTGGTTTATTTATTTAGCCTAAAGATTAAGAGCACAGGCTCTGGGCTCAGACTGCTGCAGATTCAATTCCACTCTGCCCTTTCCTAGCTGTGTGGCCTTGGGCAAGTTATTTGACCTCTCTGTGCTTCAGTTTCCCCTCTGTAAAACAAGTACAATGACAGGACTTCCCTTGGGGTTGAGATTTAATGTGCAGGTGAGGATTTAATGAGGGACATAAGTAAAGCCCTTGGAATAGCTCTTGGCTCACATTAATAACAACTCAGTAAGTGTTGGCAATTATTATTTATGTAGTTATGTGCTTATTGTCTGTTTTCCCTGCTAGGATTAAATGACGTGGAATGAGTGGGCCCATCTTGTCCCAGCACAGTGCCTGGGGCATGATGCGTGCCCAGTGCATGAATGAACAGCCCAGAACCAAGCACATCTTTTCAGGTTACTGCTGACTGTTCTTGAGTAAACACTCAGGACCATCTCAGAACTCCAATCCCATGCTGGGGTCTCGGAGACCTTGTAACAGGCCCCTCAGCCTCCTTCTTGCTCCCCTTGGTGGGAGCCTGTCTCCTGCTGGGGCTGAGAAGCCAGCCAGGGGCTGCAGATGAAAGGGGCGGCTGAGAGCGGCGGTAGGGGGTGTTCGTGCCGCCCTCGTGTACGGCAGACTGGGCACCCGCCGCCTTCAGCAGACATCACCAGGGTCAACTCGGGGCCTGCCGAGCAATCTAATTGTTAAAAAATGTAAAATGGCAAGAAAGTGAAGTTCTCTCCTTTAGCTTTATGCCCACTATCACTATTAAACTGCCTGGGGTCCAATTTCTCCCCTTCTGTGGCCTGGTCCTCCACACCCGGAAGTGGCTGTCATACCCACTCCCACCTCCATCCCCACCACACCCCCGTTTCCAGGGCAGGGGCCCAGTCAACCCCCTCACAGCACTTCCCTTCCCCTTGGAGGAAACACAATCCACAGTAACGATGCAGCCCCAGTGGTTCTCCTTCAAAAGGGCATGTTCACTGCTGTGACCACCAGATGCTTTAGCAGGTGGGCATAGTCCTTCATTTATTTTAAAGATTTCCCGAATGGCTTGAATGTGCCAGGTGAAGGCGGCAAGCTGGGGATGCAACAGAGGGGAAGAGCTGGCCTGTGCCCTGGCAGAGCTCACAGGCCGGAGGGAGAGAAAGGCAACTGCGGGCATTGAGACTAGTGCCATGATGATGCTACAGGAGCAGAGCAGGCACCGACCTAGCTGGTCAGGCTGGGAGTGCCAAGAAGGCTTCCTGGAGGAAGCAGCCTCTGAGCTGAGTCTCGAGGAAAAAGCAGGGAGCCAGGTTTCATGGGTCAGAGGGGAGAGGAAAGGAAATGTGGTGATCTAGGTGGAGGGAACAGCCCAGCAAGGAGGCGAGAGCATGTCGGAGGGACAAATGTTCTCTTCACTGGAGACATCAACCGTGGGGTGTAGATTTTCCAGAGCTGCCTATTATTATGTCCCCCCAAGACTCATAGGTTCAAGTCCTAACCCCCAGTACCTCAGAATGTGGCTGTATTTGGAGATAGGGTCACTAGAGAGGTAGTTAAGGTAAAATGAGGCCTTCAGAGTCTGTGCTAAGCCAACATGACTGGTGTCCTTATAAGAAGAGGAGATTAGGACACAGGGACACACAGAGGGAAGACCATGTGAGGACACAGGGAGAAGGTAGCCATCTGCAAGCCAAGGACAGAGGCCTCAGAAGACACCAAGCTTGCCGAAGCCCTGATCTTGGATTTCTAGCCTCCAGAACTGTGAAAACAATTACATTTCCGTGGCTGTTGATGCCACCCCTGGTCTGTGTACTTTGTTACAGCAGCCTGGGCAGACGAATATACTCACTGCCTGATTTCAAACATTCCCTCATTTCTCCTTCCTTAGGTTCACTCATGCTTCCCCACTGGTTGGTCTTGGTATTTGGTTCAGGAAATACGGCACCTCCAGCTTTGGGGAGAATGCCCTAACCGTAACCCTCCTTGCCACCCACCCATTGTTCTGTTGACTCTACCTTCTAGGGTGATTTCTGAAAAACCTTCTCCAGTGGACAGTTGCTGTTGGTGCCCAGCTGCTTTCCTTCTCCTTCAGATTCACCTTAATTTTCCTTTGGAAACTACTATCTCCGTCCATGTGGTTTGGGTGGCGATAACCACACCCCCAGTCTTGTTGGCCGGACCTGGCCCATCAGAGCCACAGTGACTAGTTCAGAGATGTGACCCCACGTGGGTTCAAGAGCCAAGTCTGGGACTTTTGCTGGAGCTTTTAGGAAGAGAAATCCACTTTCTGATGGAGTTGCAAAGCCAGTGTCTCAATTCTGCATCTATATCTGGAAAGCCCACTTTAGAATGGTGCCAAGACAAAAGAAGGAAGAGAGAAGAGGGAGAAAAGGAAGAAGGGGAGGGGAGGGGAGGGGAACGGAAATGAGTCCTACTGCAGCCCTGGACTCCTTAGTTATCCAAGTCAATAAACAGTCCCTTTTGCTCAAGTCAGTTTCACTCGCCAGTTGCCGCACAGATGCTGGTAAACTTCCTACAATGCACAGGACAGCCCCCTACAACTACCTGCCAGACATTTACCATCTGGAATTTCAGGGTCGTCTGTAAGCTTCTGGGAGCCTTCACCTCTTGCAATCAGCAGAGACCTGAGTGATATATACCCCGGCCTGCGAGATGGTCTACCCAAAGCTGAATTCAAAGTACCACTAGAAATTTAAGTCCTATGATTAGATCCAGAGACATCAAAGGCAAAGAAATACCACATAAGACAGAGCTTACTTTTGGAAGCTGGGTTAAATTCCAGCACTACGAGGGTATCTGGGCCCTGGGGAGGGCGTCCTTCTGTCTCCTGGTCCTCGGAAACATTCTTCTGCACGGAGTCCCCCCTGGGAAGAGGGGAGTCATCTCTAGGACGGCCCACCAGCACCTGGTCCTCAGGCTCCGGCTCAGAGAGTACATCTTCTTCGATAGAGTCATACTCATCACTCGAACCATCCTCTTCTTTCCTTTGTAGGTTGACACTAAGCTCCGGGCTTTTTCTTAGCTCCTGCCAAAAGTCAAGAAGAGAAGCGAAAAATGAAATATGTTCCTTTGAGGAAAAACTCTTTTGAAAATAGATCATTAGAATCAAAGAACTATTCCCATGAAGCTAACATTTCCCAAAACCATCTCAACCCATGTGTTATCCTCACTTTGAGGATGAGAAAACAAAGGGGCAGGGACAAATAAGAAACTCTCCTCTGGATGGAGCAGAGTTTCGTTTTATAGTATTAATTGTGGTTTTCTGTAGCTGTTTGCAAATTTTTTCATACGTCTTCTGCCTCTAAGAGATTGTAGATTTACAATCTTAAGACCAAGCATTAAGCTATATTTACAGTGATCAAAAAATTTATCACTGAAGCCAGGATACTTTGAATTTATTTATTTATTTATTTTTGGCTGCGTTGGGTCTTTGTTTTTGCGCGCAGGCTTTTCTCTAAGTCATGGGAAGCGGAGAGTGGGGGCTACTCTTTGTTGCGATGTGCGGGCTTCTCATTGCGGTGGCTTCTCTTGTTGCGGAGCATGGGCTCTAGGCACACGGGCTCAGCAGTAGTAGTTGTGGCTCACGGGCTCAGCAGTTGTGGCTCACAGGCTCTAGAGCGCAGGCTCAGTAGTTGTGGTGCACAGGCTTAGCTGCTCCACAGCATGTGGGTGGGGATCTTCCCGGACCAGGGCTCGAACCCGTGTCCCCTGCATTGGCAGGAGGATTCTTAACCACTGCACCACCAGGGAAGTCCCCAGGATACTTTGGAAGGGGAATAAAGGCACTACTACATTTACACTGGGACGAAAGTGTACACTGGACTGTCTGGGAAACCAGTATGTTTGGTTAGCCTCGCTATGCTATCCCTGTAGCCCTTGTAGTAACTAACATAGCTGTGAGAGCGTGAGAAGCAATCAAGTTTACGGTTGACCATAAACTTAATAGTTGTGTGGTAGGCTGAATAATGATTCCCCAAAGATGTCCAAGTCCTTATTCCTGGACCCACTGAATTAGTAAGGGCTCATGTACAAGTGAGAAGCACCACATAGAAAACTTTGATCATCTTAGAGAAATCATCCTAAAAAGCCCAATGATAGAAATATGGACATCAAAGGAGCTGCTGGTGAGGGCTCAGGAAATAAGGACCATGTTATTGGGAACTAGAGGACAGATAATCCTGTTATGTGGCAGCAGAATCTCAGCCAAACTGTGTCCTATAGTTATATGGTAAGAGGAACTTGTAAATGATGAACTTGGATATTTAGCTCAAGAGGGTTCCAAGCAAAGTGTTAAAGATACAGTCTGGTTCCTTCTTGCTGCTTAGAGTAAAATGCTAGAGGAAAGGGACAGACTGAGAGAACTGTTAAGTAAAAAGAACTGGGAGCTGATGATTTGGGAAGCTCTCAGCCTACTGCAAAAGATGCTAAAAAAAAGCATGAAAAAGCCAGGGAAGGGTGCTCTGGAGAAAAAAACGAAGGGTGTGGCTGCACAACCTTTTGCCAAAACCTCAGAAGGATCTACAGTTTAGAGCAGCGGTCCCCAACCCCCGGTCCATGGACCAGTACCAGGCCGCGGCCTGTTAGGTGAGGTGAGCAGCGGGCCGGCAAGCAAAGCTTCACCTGCCATCTCCATCGCTCACATTACTGCCTGAACCATCACCCCACCCTGTCCGTGGAAAAACTGTCTTCCACGAAACCGGTCCCTGGTGCCAAAAAGGTTGGGGACCGCTGGTTTAGAGTATTCAATCACAATGAGGGCTCTTTGAAGAGATTAGACATGTGACTCATGAATCCCCTTAGACATCTCAGCAGAAGCCAGGAAAAGGGATGGGATTATCCAGGAAAGATTTGTGGAGGAGCCTTTTTTCTAGCAGAGTGAATCCTAGAGATACACAGAGGAGATGCACATGGTTTTTGAGACTGCTATACCAGCAGAAACACTGCCAGCTTGGACTCAGTGGGAGAGAAAAAGGACAAAATTAAAGAAAGCTGACAGGCTCCCAAAACTCTACAGGCAGGAAACAGGTTAATAAAACTATGTAGGTGCAAACACATGCTACCCTTCATGAAAGAGGAAGAATGACTCCCAGGGTGCAGCCATGGGCCCAGAGGGCGGAATCCTGAGCCACAGAGAATTATTCCTGTGCCTTGAAACCTAATGGAGTTTGCCCAGTTGGATTTCAAACTTGATTGGGTTTGGTGACTCCTTTTTCCCTTTAATTTTCTGTCTCTTGTAATGGGAATGTCTATAACCGTTTTCCTGTGCCTGACCCACCACTGTATTTGGGAGCAGATAACTTGTTTTCTAGTTTTAAAAGTTCACAGAGGGAGAGAAATTTTGCCCTAAGATGAGTAATACCCATAGACTCACCCCTAGCTAATTCAGATACAGATAATGAGTTTTGGGACTTTTGAGCAGGTGAGACTTAAATGATATTTTGCACTTAAGTTGCTACTGTAATGGGTTGAGACTTTTGGGAAACTTGGGATGGGATGGAAGTATTCTGCATGTGTGGTGGACATGAATCTTTGGGGGCCCAACAGCAGACTGCTGTGGGCCCCAAAGATGTCCATGTTCTAATCACCTTGGATGGTGAATATTACATGGCAAAGGGACCTTGCAGATGTGATTAACGATCTTGAGATGGGGGATATTATCTTGGATATCTAGAGGGGCCTATGTAATCACAAGGGTCCTTCTAAGAGGGAGGCAGGAAGATCAGCATCAGAAAGACAAGATATAAGGGTGGAAGCAGAGGTTAGGGAGGAGAGAAGATGCTACCCTGCTGGCCTTGAAGGAGGAAAGGGTACAAGCCAAGGAATGTAGGTGGCCTCTAGAAGCTGGAAAAGGCAAGGAATCGGATTCTCCTCTAGAGCCCCTAGAAGGAACATAGGTCTGCTGACATCTTGATTTTAGACCAATGAAACGGAATTTGGATTTCTGAGCTCCAGAACTGTAAGATAAACCATTAAGTTTGTGGTAAGTTGTCATGGCAGCAATAAGAAACATTTTGTTTTGTTTTTTTTGTTTGTTTTTTTAGACATGCCTCACAGCTTGTGGGATCTTAGTTCCCTGACCAGGGATTGAACCCAGGCCCCTGGCAGTGGAAGCACTGAGTCTTAACCATTGGACCACCAGGGAATTCCCCAGGAAACTAATATAGCTATTGATCTTTTATAGCTCTCTCCCTCCCACCCTGCCCAATATCAAGTATTATTGAGCAAACAGAACACTGCCTGGCACATAGTAGATGCTTGACAAATACGTGCTGAATGACTAATTTATGTCAGTGACTGGGTAGAAGCTGTAAGCAGGGGTGGAGAGCACCCACCCGCCTTGGCGGTGGCATTAGTGATGTGACTCTTAGAAAGTTACTTAACTTCTCTGCTCTGCATTGTGCCACCCATAAGAATGGGTTAACGAATCCCAACCTCACTGAATTGTTTTATTAAAGTAGTGGTGTGAAGTGCGGATGATGTTGTCCCCCTCTCCAGGGGACATTTGGCAATTATTTGGAGATGTTTTTGGTCAGAACTGGGGGAAAGGAATGCTAGCGGCATCTGGTAGGTGGAGGCCAGGGATGCTGCTAAACATCTAGAACGTACAGGACAGTTCCCACAACAAAGAATTATCTGGGCAAATGTCAACAGTGGTGTGAGTGAAAAGCCCTACATTAAAGTGAGCACGTATTCACCAATGGCATTTCAAAAGATAACAGCAAGGTCTTCTAGTTGAGTGTATTGACGTGATCCATGCAACCTTCACGGAAGCCAGACTGAAGCCATGGCTCGTGTCTTCAAAGTCTGACTGTGGTCAGCAGTTGGAGGGCGAACAGGTTTACTGCTCCTCCGTGGGGAGACATGAGTTCCTGGGGGGCCTGCTGTTTAACGGCAACTGCAGTGCCTGTAAAGCTAGTAATCCTTGACTTTACAAAACATTTTCAACTCCCTCCCCCATTTGATCCTCACAGTGACCCTGCAACATAGATGGGTGGAGTGCAACTTGCTTTGGTGATAACGTGAACTCCAGCCACAGCAGGATAAGCAGTTGGTCCCGGTTCCTGGTCCACCCCACCCATCTCAGATGGGGTCATCTTCAGTTCTCTGTTCCGCAGGGGTGGAGGCAAGGCTAGGTGAGAAAACAGGGGGCAAACCCGGTATTCTCACCCAGTCACAGTGGAAAAAAATGATAAAAGCAATGCCAGCTAAACTGGGAGATTCCCGGATGGGAGACTGCTGTGACTGTCCAGGAGATCTCGGTCAGTCCCAGGGCCCAGAATCCTCCCCACTGATGCCTAAGGCCGAGTGGAGCTACCACCCACTGCCAGTTCCAGGAAATAGCTGGATGGGGCATTAGGATTCTAGAACCCACGGTCAGCTGAGCAGGTTCCCTCAAGCCTCTTCATCACCTTCACCTTGTGGTAGCCCCATATTTTAAGTGACTGAATTTCTGGAGTCCCCACAAGTCGGAGGACTGAGGCCTAGAGCCTTTAAGCTGGTCCGACCTGTCACAATGATTAAGTGGCAGGGTCGTGACGTGTGCCCTCAGCCACAGCTCCCTGCTCCTTCTAGACTATCCAAGTGTAAAACAGACTCACTTTTGTGGTCCAACCAATGGGGAAGAAGACGCGGCAACTATTATCCTGTGTTTATTCACACACGCAGGTGTGCTGCAGGCGCTTCGTTGAGGGCTGAGGTAATGGTGGGGAGTAAGATGGCGAAGCTTCAGGCAATCAGTGCACAAAGAAAAAGAATCAGGGGCATTTCAGATGTGGCCAGGACTGGGAAGGAAAGAGCCTGCCTGCATAACGGAACCAAGAGTGAGCGGGCTGAGGGCAGCCCTGTTGAAAGCTGGTCACGGAATGCTGGGTGATAAAGAAACGCCCAGTGAATGTCTGGGGCACAAGGTGTGTCAGGAGGAATAGCAGAGGCAAAATCCTGGAGGCAGCAATGGCTGGAGGGCAGCGGGTACCAAACACACTGGGAGGGGAGGGTGGGGAGCAGGAAGGGGGTCACAGGGGCAGT